TGGCACCGGCTGTCCCCTCCGCCCGTCTGGGTGCCGCAGCCCCGTCTCTCCCCGTCTTGGGAGATGAAGGGGGAGGGAGGAGGCCGGGTTTCCGCGCGGCTCCCTCTGCTGACGCCCTGCTGCCCGGCAGGTTCCACACGGAGGAGGAGGCGCTGGCGATCGCGAACGCGGCGGACGTGGGGCTAGCAGGTGGGTGTGGGCCTGCCTGGGCCTTGGCCCGTGAGCCGGCTGGGCCGGAGGGCGGGGCAGCGGGCAGGTGTGCGCTCACGCCTTCAGGCCTTCTGCCTCCGGGTGCCTGCAGGAGCCCTGGCGAGGGGAGCGGGGTTGAGGGGGAGGGGGAGACTGAACGGTGGTTCCAGGTGGAGACTCAGCCTGAGTCCCGCCCTGGGGGCTGGCTGCCGGAAACCCCAGTGCTGCTCCCGCCCTCCCTCCGGGCCGGGGCGGGGCAGAGGGTGCCAGACCATTTCCAAGTAAAAGGGCAGGGGTCACGCCCTCACCGGGAGGGTTGGGGACTAAGGGGTCTGCCGTGCACCTCTGTCCGGATGTGTGGGTTCCGGCCCTCGGGGAAAAGAGCCACACCATGGCGGCGACTGAGAGGAGGGTCATAGCCAGGAGGGAGCCTGGGGAGGTTGCCTTGATCCTTTAAAAAAATATATACGTTTTTATTGATTTCAGCGAGGAAGGGGGTGGGAGAGGGAGAGAGGGAGGGAGGGAGGGAGAGGGAGAAAGAGGGAAAGAGAAACATTCATGAGAATCGTGGGTCGGCTGCCTCCTGCACACCCCACCCTGGGGATCGAGCCTGCAACCCGGGCCTGTGCCCTGAGCGGGAATGGAACCCTGACCTCCTGGTTCCTCATTCGATGCTCAGCCCCTGAGCCACCTTGGTCCTTAGGACGGATGCCCAGGTGGGAGAGGGGCATCAGCCAGGCCGGCGTGGGGTCTCGCTGGGAGCGGGCGCGGCCAGGCCGGAGGGCGGAGGCCGAGGCAGTGCCCTCCGCGCGGACAGGACGCCGCGTCACGTCCCACACCCGTCCCTCCCGCACAGGTTACTTCTACTCGCAGGACCCCGCCCAGATCTGGCGGGTGGCGGAGCGGCTGGAGGTGGGCATGGTGGGCGTCAACGAGGGGCTGCTCTCGGCCGTGGAGTGCCCGTTCGGCGGCGTGAAGCAGTCGGGCCTCGGGCGCGAGGGCTCCAAGTACGGCATCGACGAGTACCTGGAGGTCAAGTACGTGTGCCTGGGCGGCGTGTAGGCCGTGCCCTTTAGGACATGAAGGAGCTCGCCGCGCGGGCACAGCCACCCTGGCTTCACATGCACCTCGGGTGTCCGGGCTGCAGCAGCCTCTGTCCCTCACCCGAGGGGCTTCCCATCGAGTTTAGAGCCTGGAGGGGGGGACACTGATGTGAGAGAGACGGTGATTGGTTGCCTCCCACACAAGCCCTGACCTGGGCGGGCATCAGGCTGCTCCCCAGGTGCAGGCCCTGGAGCTGGAATCAACCCTGACCCTTGGTCCGCTGGCGGGCACCTGAACCACCTGAGCCAAACCCCACCCACTGAGCCAAACCCCACCCACCGAGCCTAACCCCACCCACCGGGCCAAACCCCACCCACCGAGCCTAACCAGCTTTTAAAACTTGACAAAGGTTTTAAAGCCCATCCAGACCTTATGTTAACCAGGTGGGAGTCCTGCCCTCCCCTTACTGAACTAGGGACATCTGGTGCCCGTGCCTGTGGCTGCAGACTCCCCGAGACCCGCCACAGCCCTAACTGCCTCTAGCAAAGGGCAGCAGGCACAAGCTGGCCCGGCGACCCCTCCCAGGGCTGGTGACCTCAGGAGGCTCAGAGCTTAGACCAGAGGAGAGCACTCCCCCCCCCCCCCAATCCTCACCTGGAGAGCTCAGCTGCTGTGCGCTCTGTGTTGTGAGTAGCTGTTTACAGATTTGTGCCGTGTTCTCTGCTTCCCTGCCCTCCTTTCCTCGGTGGGGAGACCCCCCTGTGAACACACTGTCCGTGCGGGACCTGGCGCCCCTGAGGGCGGAGCCCAGGTTACTGCCTGTGCCGCGGCCCGGGGTCGCTGTCTGTGTGGGGCCTCGCTCTGTGTTGTGGGGGTTGGTGGGGAGTGTGCGGACGTCTGTCCTCCCACTGTCTCCTGGTCTGCACAAAGTCACTAATAAATGAATTAACGAACTTCCTGTTTCTGCCTTCAAGTTGGCGGTGAGGGTTTTTCCCGGCCGGTGCATCGCCTGAGCGTGGTTTGGGCACGATTGGCCCAGCTGAGACGGAGGGAGGGGACCAGAAGGTGGGGTGCCGGCCTGAGGACACCGGAGCTGGAGGCTCTGCCTGAGGTTTTAGGGAACGAACACGTGACACCCCCTCTTCTGCACCCGGAGCTGAGAACGGGACACAGGGTTTACACAGAGGGAACACAATGCTGGCGTCATCGCTGAGACGCTGGGTTAGGGGCTGGTGAGAAAGGCGAAGGGATTGAGAGAAAAACAAGAACAGGCGCGGACAGCGGTATGGGGATGGAGCGGGGAGGGCGGCAGGAGCCCGGGCTGGCGGCCGGCACTCCGGGCAGCGTGCAGATGTGTACGGAGCTGTACCTGGGAAACGTGTATGGTTTAACCAACGTCGCCCCACTACGTTCAATTACAAAACCCATAAAGAACTTCAGTTTTAAAGTTCTTGTCAGACACCCACGGAGAACGCTACCTAATCCAGGGGCCGGCACACTGGCCTACAGGGCACCTGGGCTCACTGCCTGTTTTTAGTTATTTTATTCTAATTAAACATAAGAAAATTCACTGTCAGAATCAAAGTGGAAGGAGGGGGAGAAGCAGGTGCTGTTGCTTTTTTTTTGGTTTCTTAATATTTTTCCATTTGTTTATACATGTTTTGTTAATCTGCACCCGAGGACATTTTCCCATTGACTTTAGAGAGAGGGGAAGACAGAGTAATGTGGATGTGAGAGAAACACGCCCAACCAGGGCCCAGCCCGGGGAGGAGCCTGCAAACCAGTGCGTGCCCTTGATCGAGCCCGGGTCCCTTCAGTCCACCCCCGGCGGCACCGGCGAGGGCAGCTGCTATTGGTTTGGAAAGCGGAGTCTGCCGCTCCTGGCATGCACGCCGGCCCCTCCTCCCGCACCCACAGCCCGTCCTGCAGGCTGTTCACGGGGCACCGGACCCCACAGGCCCACCGGATTCAGAGATGCTTGTGCACAACTTACAAAGCGCCTCTGATGGCTTCGTGTCTAAGACGTAAATCTAGAAATAGCCCACCCGAGAACTTCCCGTTTCTACTTTAAAAGGGAGCAGACAGGAGAGGAACCAAGATGGAGGCAAAGGTTAACACCTGAACTTGCTGTCTCGCACAACCACATCCAAACTACAACTAAAAGAAAGAACGGATATCATCCAGAACCAGGAGGGGTAAAATGTCTCCTGGTACAGCTTTTCACCCTCGGCTCTTGTTTCTATGTGGTTACTGAACAACAAGGCCAGAAACTTGGGGTTCTGAGGGCGGGAGGAACTGAGGTCTGGAAGGTCCAGGTGCACCCCATCCCGGCAAAATGGCGCCTCACCCACTGAAACAAGATTCCGAGGGGCAGTCCCACGGAGGAGGAGGTGAAGGACATAAGGCCGCTGTGCTGGGAAAACGTGAGATTCCGAGTGAAAAACTCCAGGGACTGCAAACAGGCTCCCGTTCTGCACTGAGCGTCGCTGCCCGTGGAGCGGATGTAGCCAGGCGCCCGTCGCTCCCTCACCGTCTGCGCTCAGGTGCCGGCACAGCAGCCCCAGCCCGCCATGTTCGGCCCACAGGTGCAGTCGCGCATGCAGCCAGAAACAGGAGTTGAAATTCAATCCCCTCCCGGCCCACAAACACAAAACCAACTATAAGCAAGTACATTTTTTTAAAAGCATCTTTCTCTTAAGAAGAAAGAGGAAAAGATAAAAATTATGATCAACAAACACATATCAACAAGTGAATTGAAAAATCAAGTGAAAATGAGAAAAAAAAATCAAGTGAATTAAAAATCTGAGGAACAGAATAAACTGGTAAATATAATAGAATCAGAGGCAAAGAAAGAGAGTGGATCGATAATTATCAGGGGGAAGGGGTGTGGGAGGTGCAGGAAGAGACTGGACTAAAATCGTACACCTATGAATGAGGACAGTGGGGGGAGGGGGGAGGGCAGAGGGTGGGGTGAGAACTGGGTAGAAGGGAGCTAAGGGGGGGGAAAGAAGAAACGTAATAATCTGAGCAATAAAGATTGATTTATTTAAAAAAAAAGTATCTTTCTTATGGGAAAAAATGATCCCTTAAAGCACATTTAAAAGTGTTCCTCACCTCTTGTAAAATAATTCCACTTCAGCATAGCAAAACTAAAAGGCTGTTTCTCTTTACACAGTATTCTGCTCTCGAAAACCAGTCCAGAGCGGCTGTAAACAGACTTTCACCCCATCACGCCCAACCTGGTATCTTGGTCACACAGATACAGATATGAATTTCAGTGAGAGAAGGAATTTAAGTCACGAGTTCACGTATAGCTCACCAATGAGGCAGGTCAGCTGACACAGGGCAGCTGTCACCTGCTCAAATGCTCACGGCCTGGTACTGAAGACCCAGTGCCAGGAACCCACAGCCCCCCGGTTTTCCCTCTTAAAGACTTAGAACATTCACTACTTTGGTTCCTGGTTTCCACGATACATCAGCGATAAAGGCTGGCCCAGAGGCAGTGCGATCTAGCACTGCGGACAGATGACAGCCTCTAGCCCTCCCGCCGGGAGACCTCATATTCTGCACACACACATCCCCTCGAAATAAACATTAACACTTTGTTCTGAAACCTAATGACGCAAAACACAGTTTTCCCTTCTCTCCTGATGGTCCGATATATTCCTTCTTCCACATCAAACCTGAATTTCCAGAGGGGCAGGAATTCTCTGTGCAAATCTCCAGCACACCACCACTCGGAACACGTGACTTGCACCGGGAACACTTCACAGGATGACGTCCAAGGTGCAGAGAAGGCCCCAGTGGTCACTGGGGAACCGGCCACAGTCCAGCTTCTCCAGCCCCAGGAGGTCCAAGCTCTGGGGGACGAGGTGGCCGCCCCCCGCGGCCGGAGCTCTGAAGAAGATCCGGTCGAAGCGGTGGCGACAGGCGGCCCGGATGCCCAGGTTGGAGTTCAGCCGTGTGTCCCACGTGTAGCGGCAGTGCTCAGGCCTGCCCAGCAGCTCCCAGACGTCCGAGATGCTGCCGGGTAAGCCGCCGCACTTGGTGACCTGAAAGGACAGGAAACGCCGTGATATTCCAGTGTTTCCCCCCAAACTGAAAGCGTGACTTGGAAATATTAAAAACCTGCAAGTAACAGCATTGCCTCATCATAGTCTAAACTATTTTCTCCTCTGGCTCTGTTTTTTTTTTTTTTTTTTTTTTTTTTTTTTTAAATATATTTTATTGATTTTTGTACAGAGAGGAAGGGAGAGAGATAGAGAGTTAGAAACATCGATGAGAGAGAGTCATCGATCAGCTGCCTCTTGCACACCCCCTACTGGGGATGTGCCCGCAACCAAGGTACATGCCCTTGACCGGAATCGAACCCGGGACCTTTCAGTCCCCAAGCTGACGCTCTATCCATTGAGCCAAACCGGCCTCGGCTGGCTCTGTTTTTGTTCATTAGTTTATGTTGTTTATTATATATATATTAATATATATAAACGTGGGAGATTCCATTTATATGATCCATTGTCAAGTGCCTTCAGTTCTATTTGAAATTTACTAACAATATTAATTCTTCCTTTTTCACTCACACTTGTTTGTTTTCACTTATGGTAAGTCACACATGAAATTCACCATTTAAAAATACACATATACCAATGGCCTTAAGTATATCCACATAATTGTGCAGCCAGCCCTTTTTGGCTTTTTTAAAATCAGGTTGCCTTTTTTGAAGAATTTCTAACATTTTAATACAGATCATGTTCATTCCAGCCTCAGTGCCAACCTGGGGCAGGCACTGCGTCAGCTTCCTTTCGTGGCTGCTTAGATGTTGAACATCACAATACGCTGGTTTTTCTCGATCTTGACAACGTGGCAAGCTTTGGCCTGGCTGTGGCAGAAGTCCTTCCTTTCCTCCATTAAGTGAGGCACGCAGTCAGCACAGTCAGTGGCAAGAAGTGAAGAGGATGGAAAAAACATCGGGTTTTTTGTTGGTTTTTTTTTGAATGTCAGGTTCTTATTGTTGGCTTTTCGGTGAGCATTCTTTACATATTCTGAGCACGAACTGTGTGGCGGATACGTGATCTGCAAACATTTCCCCGAATTCCCTTTTCACTCCCCGGTGCACACCGTGTATCTCCACGGCATCCACCTCCCTCCTTGTTCGCTCTGTCTGTGCTGCTGGTGTCGCGCTCAAGAAGTCAGCGCCGCTCCTGTGCCAGAACGCTTCCCGCGTCCTGCTCTGACCGAGGCCTATGGTCCACGCTGAGAACTGCCACACGGGGTGTGAAGGCCCAACTTCACATGCGGGCCCGTGGCATCAGGTCCAAACGCCACTTGTTAAATCCAGGATTTAAGTCAGTCGGTCCCTCAATCAGATACCAGAAACGGCCGCCATAAACAAGTCCGACAGAAGCCACCTTGCCGGACCCGCCCTCGGAGGCCGGCGGCCACCTTCCCGGGACGCTGCCTTCCGGGCAGTCCTGCCCGCCCCGCTCCCCCTGCTCCCCGTCCTGCCGCAGGGGCCCCCGGGCAGTCCTGCCCGCCCCGTTCTCCCTGCTCCCCGTCCTCCCCGTCCTGCCGCAGGGACCTGAGCAGGAGCTCCATGTCCGCTCGCTTTCCGTCTGACGAGCGCTGGGCATGGGGGGAGGGCAGGTTCTAAGGCCATAAAGACCCTGAGAAACCTCCCGTCTCAACCGGACGCAGGACAGACACTTTGTTCGGGGCTGGACAGGCAGGGAACGGGACAACCACGATGCTCAGCTCTTCCTGTCCTCACCTGCAACCGGCCCGGTGAGCGCCTGTCCTGAGCTCCCTCACCACCGCTTCCCAGAGCCCGCGCCACCACCCCGGCCTGCGCTGCCACACTCCCATCTCCCCCGAGACAGCAGCCTCCTGCCTCTGCTTCCGCGATGGGGACAGAGCACGGCGGAGCCAATACTGCCGGTTTCTGCCTACAGGGGCCTGTGCCCATTTTACCGGAATCCGCTTCCACAGCAGTCACCGCCCTGGACACCCACTGCTGCTGCCACTCACCTCTTGGTCCCGCAGGTTCATGTCTCCCGCAAACAGAACGGTGGCCGACTCCGGGGCCTCCTGCATCTTCCTCAGGACCAGCTTGAACTGACTGGCGCGCTCCTCCGCGTGCTCCCGGGTGCTCTCCAGGTGGGAGTTCATAAGGCACAGCTCGTTTCCCGCCACGCTCGCCTGCACGGACAGACCGTCACGGCTGTTACGTCAGCCCCGTGCTGACCTCTGACCCCGGATCAGCAGGTCGGCCACCGGCCGGAGCGCACCCACGCAGGGAGCGCACCCACGCAGGGAGCTTGCTCGCCATCACGGTGTGTTCCTTCCAGCGCAGGGCAATGCGCTCAGAAGAAAAGCCACGCTAGAGAGGGAATGTGGGACATCACCAAACCTTCCACATCTCAGGAAAACATCTTACAGATCAGGGATTTTATTCTTACAAGACTGTGTCTATGTTTGAAATTTATGTAAGAACTTACCGAGCTCTTTAAGACTAACAGGACACCCTGTGAGTGAGGAGCAGGCCTTTCTAAAAACAGCAGTAAGCAGAGAAAAAGGACATCACCCTGGAACTGCAGGAACTTATGCTTTTCTTTAAAAACGTTACTCACATGCACACACAGAAGGTTTCTCATCATCTTTGTGTTTGGGAAAGGGATGATCTCGTAGCTTTTCAATTTCACTCTTGATTTCTTTAGCATGATGGCTGTGAAATACCCGTCGTCATGGCCTGCGGGTGTTTGTGAAACAGAATTTCAGTTGAGAATACACTACTGTAACAGGTTCCCCATGGAAGGTTTTATAACAAACAAGTAGTTGCTTAAGCTCAATCTTAAAGTAAACTATTGTTTCAAAATAGCGGAGATGGCCAACCATGTCCTGTGTTCGCCTGCCCCTCCCAATGTCACGGAGGATGGAGAAATATAAAAGTAAACAGGACTTCACATAGGTGCCAAACTATTAATGGTGCCAACAGGAAACAAATACATTGGAGAAATTTCTGGAAGACAGAGGAGATGAGACTTAACCTGAGGCAAGTTGGCATGCATTACTTCTCACCCGGAAGCCCAGGAAAATTATAATAAACGAACAGAATATTTAGAAGGTGTGAGGCTGTAGGAAGAAAAGAGAACAGAACAGGCAGTGACAACTGGCTGATCAGAACAGAGGATCCAAAAAAGAAAAAAAAAGGAAGGAAAAAGGAGGAAAGAATGGAAAAAGAACAAAGAGAAAGGAAGGGGTCGGAGGAAGGCCGGAGAGGGAAACAGAGAGGAACGGGTTTTTCCGAATTGAAGGTCACAAACCTCCAAATTGGAAGTTCCTTCCAAGTGTTCAGAATAAATGAGAAAAAACAAAAAAATAAAAAACTAAGCCCCCCAAAGAACACTAGGATGGAAAAGAGACCCTCAAAGCTCAGGGTGGGGGAGGCCAGAAATAGTAAGGCTTCAGATTTACAATCCACAACGGCAACCGGGAAACACTGACAACACCTTTCTGCCTGGAAATCTGTGTGCAGCCGAACCACCAGCCAGTCACGGGGACGAATCACAGGTTCACAAACGCCCTCTCTACGCATTCCCTCTTAGAAGGGGTTTCAGAATGTGCACCAATAAAACAAGAAATCCAACCAGGAGCAAGAAAAAGAATCCCCAGGAGAAAGCAGAAAAGCTGTCCCAGAGAGAGCAGGAGAGAAACAAGGCCGAGGCAGGCCTCTCCTCAGCCAGGCTGACGAGACAGCAGGCAAAGCAAACCAGGGCCTCAAGAAAAGGGAGAGGCGACGGGAACATGGGCTTGAGCCCAGAATAATGACTTGTAGCCAAAGTGGTAAAAACAAAACAGGTGGAGAAAAAAACCCCCAACTAAATTAAGAGTAAAAAGCTAAAAGAAAAAAAGACTTTTGAAAAAGCATAACCACATGAAGCTAACGTATCATGTGAACTATAGCTGAAAAATTAAGAATCTGGAAAAAAGTATAACTACAATGCAATTATCACACTTAAAATTTTTAATGATTTAATGTCACCAAAAAGCTACTCACTGTCTCAAACTTTGACAATTTACATGTTCCTGACGTATCATTCATTACAACTCTTTCTCACATCGAAGCTGTATCACATATCCTCCTCCAGTCCTCTCAGCATCGTGGGTCTGGCTTGTTTGCTTAAAACTTAACTGCTTCTGTGCTCCAACAGGCTTTGACGGGTTTCTTGCATTGACATGTTTTTCAAAGAAAAAGACAGTGACATGACAGGAAAGCTGTTACCTGTAATGATCTCGTAGCTGCTTGCCTTCTTCTTCAGCATGCTGTGATACGGGGGAATGACTTCCTGCAGAAAAACCACGTCCGGGCTGTACCTGTGTGAGAACACCGGGAATGCGCCCATTTCACGTGCGGTACCTCCGTCAGCAAAATACCACGTCAGAGAAACGCAAAACTACGACGTCTCACACCCACTCTTCAATGTTCACACTGTTCCTTGGTAACGATAAGACAGAGACCTGAGCTATTTCACCCAAAGATTAAAAAAAATATATACGTGACACCACATTGTAAAGCTGTTTAGAATCACTGACAAGCAGCAGTGATCTGAGAGGCACCACAGTCCTGCACCCCGAGGGACACTTCACTTGTGATCACCCCTAACGTCCTCCGGAAACTGATCCCTGACGAAGGAGACGGCCCCGGAGAGCGACGCAGCTCACCATGACGCCACAGCTGACAGCCAGTGTGAGGTTCGGAGCAGCCACGCTGACACAAAGGCCAAGGAGCCAAGCAGCACGGGGAGGCTTCTGGCAGAGGCCTGCTCCTGCCCGCCCCTCCCGCCACCCCGGGCGCTGGCCCTGAACCGGGGTCTCAGGCCTTGGGCGCTGCCCTCCGTGCACGGGGAGACACACAGGGGACCGGCCGCCACCCACCCGCAGCAGCAAGAGCACTCACAGGGCGATGGCGGCGCACACCGCCTGGGCCCGCTCCCGCAGGTTGTTCAGGTCCAGCCCGTCCACGTTCCAGGTGACCAGCGAGAAGGCGCTGCCGTCCTCCTGCGGAGGGGGGCTGGCCGAGCCGCTGGGGCCCCGGGCGGCCGGCGCCTCCTCCTGGGTCAGGTCCACACTGGCAAGATCAGAGCGAGCACAGCTTTGCAGCAGCCTGCAGGCGGCCTGGGTTAACCGGGCCGAGTGCTTCCGTTAACGAGTGCTTCCGAGCGCTCGCCCCTCACTCTCAGGTGAAGGCACTAAAGACCAAGCCTCCACCCGCAGAGCAGGTCCCGGCCTGCGCTACCCAGGTGGTGCCACTTGGTTACCAGTGACCTCAGGCCCTTCCACGCCCCGTTTATAAATACATCGACATTCCCACGACGATTTGGGTTCATTGTAAATCTCGTTTCTGAAAGCAGAGCCGAGCCCTGGCTTGTGGCTGGGCGGGTGGGCCTTCGGGCCTTCACCAAGCTGCTGCTCTGACGCCAGGTCTCACACGGTGTCTCTCCCCACCTCTTCCTCTCTCTCTCTCTAAAAACCAATAAAAAAAGCTTTTCTTTTTAAAATATATTTTATTGATTTTTTACAGAGAGGAAGGGAGAGAGATAGAGAGCTTGAAACGTCGATGAGAAACACCGACCAGCTGTTTCTACCAGGGATGTGCCCGCAACCAAGGTACATGCCCTTGACCAGAATCGAACCCGGGACCTTTCAGTCCACAGACGCTCTACCACTGAGCCAAACCAGTTTCGGCAAAACTTTTCTTTTTTAAAGTAAAGGCCTATTCACATTTCGCCAACTGTGCTACTAGGTGCTCACCCAGGACCTGCACGCTCTCTCGTCTCCGTTAATCCAGAATCGGCCTCCAGGCCTTGCCTGTGACCTGGGCACCGTGAAGCACAGGCGCGTACTCCGTGGACGGTCCCTCAGGGGGGCCTGTCTGGCGTTTTCTTAGGATCGGGTTCGTTACGGCTGGTGGGGAGGAACCACCCTGAGGGCCGGAGTGCCTTCTCTGTGCGCCCTCGCGGGGGACTCCGCACCTGGGTGCTGCCCCAGCACTGTCCACGCTGCCTGACCACCTGGTCCGGTCGGGGTGGTGTCTCCCCCTGTCCCCGCCCAGCGATGCCTCCCCATTAGGGGCCTTCGGCGGGCGGGCGCTGCGGGCCTCTGCAAACACCGCCTTTCCCACCCCCAGCGGTCATTTCGGGAAGAATTCCCCGGCGGGATTCCCTGGGGGTGCCTTTCTCCAATGCCACCCGCCCTCCCAGCTCGCCTTCTACTCAGAGGGCAAACGGCAGCTGCCGAGGGACCCGAGTTTTATTCTGCAGGCGAAGCCTGCCGCCTCTGAGCCCACAGGGAGGGGCGCGTTTTAAGGAAACGGAGAGTAAACAATAAATAGAATCCAGCAAAGAGCACCCACCCTGGAACCAAGAGGTCACGGTTCAGTTCGGGGTCAGGGCCCGGCCAAGTGGTACGCTTGACCCCCTGGAGGCAGCTGATGAAGGATGCTTCTCTCATGGATGTTTACTTCCTCCCTTTAAAAATCAACAAAGGGCCGGGACCGGTTTGGCTCAGTGGTAGAGCGTCGGCCTGCGGACTGAAAGGTCCCGGGTTCGATTCCGGTCAAGGGCATATACCGTGGTTGCAGGCACATCCCCAGTAGGGGGTGTGCAAGAGGCAGCTAATTGATGATTCTCTCTCATCGATGTTTCTAACTCTCTATCCCTCTCTCCTCCTCTCTGTGAAAAATCAATAAAATATATTAAAAAAAAAATAAAAATCAACAAAGGGCCGGGACCGGTTTGGCTCCTGAAAGGTCCCAGGTTCGATTCCGGTCAAGGGCATGTACCTTGGTTGCGGGCACATCCCCAGTAGGGGGTGTGCAAGAGACAGCTGATCGATGACTCTCATCGATGTTTCTAGCTCTCTATCTCTCTCCCTTCCTCTCTGTACAAAATCAATAAAATATATTTTTAAAAATCAACAAAGGATTTTTTTAAAGTCTACAAAAAATATGAAGAACAAAATAAAAAAACAATCAATAGAGGACGCAGATGGACTTCCAAGTCACCCTATTTCCAACAGAGGCTTTTGCCTCATTCATTTGTTTGGAACCTTTCGCTGGCATCTTTCCTGTCCTCGGAGTGAAGAACAGTTCAGAGGGTGCCGTCTGCACCCCCTGCATCCGCACCCCCTCCGCCCGCACCACAGCCCCGCCCGCACCCCCTCCGCCCGGGGCGCCGCCCACTCACTCACCAGGACCCCGGCGGCGCGGCCGAGGTGGCGGGACGGCGCGGGAGGGCGTCCTCCTCCGCTCGCGGCTCGAAGTAAGCGTTCAGCGCCCTCTGAGGGGAGCAGGCACACGGCGGGCTCTAACCCCCCTGCACCTTCCGGGGCCCTGCACCCCCACCGGGCCCTGCACCTTCCGGGGCCCTGCACCTTCCGGGGCCCTGCACCCCCACCCCGCCCTGCACCCCGGCCCGGCGCGCACCTCCACCTCCCAGGCGTTCTCCGCCAGGTAGCGCCGCGCCACGGCCACATCGCAGCTGGCGACGGAGATGAAGTCCGCGCACAGCAGCAGCCGCTTCTTCCCCGCCGGGTCCCCGTCCTCCGGCCCCGCCTCGGGGCCGCTCTCCGGGCTGCGCTTCCGCTCCATCGCCGCCGCGGACGCTCCCCGCCGCCGCCGCCGCGAGGCTCCCGGCCAACCGCCCGCGCAGAGACCGGCGCCCTCCGAGCGGTCGGCGCGGCTGCGGCTGCGCAGTGGAGGACGGAGCGGCGGCGCCGGGCGGGCCCCACAGCGCATGCGCGCGCGGTCCCAACAGAGCGCGGAACGGCCGTGCGCGGGGGGCGTGGCGCGAGCGCGGGAGGGCGTGACGGGGGCGTGGCTAGGGGCGGGGCGTGGCGGAGGGGGCGGGCGCTCCGCGGACGGTGGCGGCTCGTCTGCGTCCTCTGCGTCCTTGTGCGTCGCCAGCGGCGGGCGCCCGGCGCTGCCCAGCCTCAGTCCCGCGCGGGGCCCGGAGCTCGCGGACGTCTCACCATGAGCCTGACCCACAAACTGCGGGAGGTGATGGCGGCCATCAGCGGAGCCCCCGGCTTTGACAAGGTTTTGGAAAAGGTACCGGAGGCGCAGCCGCAGGTTGTGGTGCGGGGAGCGGAGGCCCCGCGCTCCTCCCCCCGGTCGCGTGGCGATCGCGGGGGCGCCAGGTCACGGGCGCGGAGGAGCTCATCTCCCGGTCCACAGCTGAGCGTGGCTGTCACTCGGGAGACGGCGCCGCGGCTCCGGGGCGGGAGGGACGGCGGTGCGACCCTTCCAGGCGGCCCGCAGCCCGCCGGTTATTGGTGCCCGGAGCTGCAGCCAGGCAGCAAACTCCGGTGCAAGGTGGAGGGTTTGCACCTAAAGGAGCTTCTGCCATAACCTTATTCATTCTAGTAACTCCTTGAATTACAGAATTTCTTCGTTTGTTTTTAAAATTGTATTAAGCCATGCACTACAAAGTAATTGTAAAAATTACCCTGTGCAAAATCTAGGCAACATTCAAATTAAGCCGATAATGGACGGACAGACCCCAGTGGCCGGCTGGCTTCGTGGGTGCAGAATTACCCCGGAGACAGTAAGAGACGCCAGGTTGCTGTGCATAACACGGGATGGTGGTTTCTGCCAGTGCCGTGGGAACCAGCCAAGACTACGATTGTTTTTCCCTGTATGTCCCTTTTTCTTTAAAAAGTTTCCCTTTGGATTAACTTCTGTCCGAGAGAGGGGTCATACTGACTGAGTCACCCTTTTTTTTTTTTTTTTTTTTTTTTTAATATATTTTCCTGATTTTCCACAGCGAAAAAGGGAGAGGGATAGAGAGCTAGAAATGTCGATGAGAGAGAAACATTGACCAGCTGCCTCCTGTACAACCCCTACCGGGGATGTGCCTGCAACCACGTACATGTCCTTGACCAGAATCGAACCTGGGACCCTTCAGTCCGCAGACCGACGCTCTATCCACTGAGCCACACCGGTTTTGGCCCGAGTCACCTTTTTTGGGGGGTGACTCAGGTTAGAGTCCAGGGTCCTCGGGGTGCTCACCATCCTTTCCTTCTGCACTCAGGTGACGCTGGTCTCGGCGGCCCCAGGGAGGGTGACCTGCGAGCTGCGAGTGGAGGAGGAGCACACCAACAAGCTGGGCACGCTCCACGGGGGGCTCACGGCCACCCTGGTGGACAGCATCTCCACCATGGCGCTGCTCTGCACCGAGCGGGCCCTGCCGGGCGTCAGCGTGGACATGAACATCACGTGAGTCGCCGCGCCGCCCCCATGTTCCCCCGTGTTCTCCGCCTGGAACCTGGGAGTAAAGGAGCTTCCTTCCAGGCACAGTGTGTACCGACGGTTGTAAAATGACTCAAACCTTCAAAAAAGCAGTCCTAGCAGGTTTGCTCAGTGGAGAGAGCCTCGGGCCAGGGACTGAAGGGTTCTGGGTTCGACTCCAGTCAAGGGCGCACACCTCCAGGTTGCAGGTTCAATCGCTGGGCAGGGTGGGAAGGAGCTAATGGAAGTGTCTCCCTCACATGGATGCTGCTCTCTGTCTCTCCCTCGCCCTCCCACTCTCTAAAAATCAATGGGAAATCTCGGGTGAGATTAACATTTTTTGAAAAAGCCAGCCTTCGGCCTCTAACAGATGCTGGTGGGAACACCACCAGCACAGTCTCACGGCTTCTGTGTCACAGTCCTGACGCATGCTCAGGACACGTACAGGCTGAAGGGAACCTAGAGAAGAAATGGAGAAGCCTCCACAGAGACACCTCTCCTAGGGACAGGGGACCACAGAGGGGGTGTCTCCCCGAGGTGCACGGACAGGCTCTGCAGGTTCAGCCGCACAGTGTGGGCGCAGCACCTGGGAGCCTGCCTGCAGGGATCACAGGTCCCCGTGTGTGTGTGTGTGTGTGTGTGTGTGTGTGTCCCGTCAGCGCCTGCGCCAACCAGCAAGGCTGCCCCGTTCTGTCCTGTCCAATGGCAGCGCAGGGGCCAGGGGTTGTTTCTGGACAATTGCTTTTGCCTCCAAACTAACAGAAAAGTGGTTTTTCCCCAGGGGACTGGCCAGGGTTAGCGAGGGAAAGCCAGTGCCATGGAAATGCAGCCGTTAGGTTGTATCAGGTTAGCACCGCATTCAGGCCCCTGTTACTATGGAAATAACCTAAACTGAGGGTGCAGTAAGCAAACCCCAGGACGAGGCACCGTGCTCTTTTGAGATGAAGATGACAGAGGAGGTCTGCCCTCTGGCACTGGAGCAGCCAGCAGGCCCCCCCCCCCCCCCCCCCCCCCCGCTCGGAGCGGCTGTGCTGGCGGCTCTGTGCCCTCAGTCTGTCTGGTGCAGCGGCCTCCCAGCCTAGCTCTGCGGGGCCCATCTCCTAAGATAAGGCGGCTTGGACCACCATGACGAGTTTCCAGGAAGACAGCTTTGGCCTTTCCAAGTGCATGTCGACAAAAGTTTTGGCCTGAGCTTCGCACAGGGACTCCCTGCCTGGCTGGCATGGCTCAGTGGCTGAATGTCGACCTATGAACCAGCTTACGGTCTGGTTCACGTGCCTGGGCTTGCAGACTCGCTCCCCTGTGGAGGAGGTGCAGGAGGCAGCGATTCTCTAATCATTCATCTCTCTGTCCCCCCTCCCCCTTCCTTCCTCTGAAATCAATAAAAAACATTTGTTTAAGAGAGTCCCTTGAACAAAAACTAGGACATAGTCTCAAAGATATACTATAGCTATTCCAAAAATAAACGAGTGACACTTTGAATACAGGTGGGCCAGAAGTGTCTCTCTTAATGTGTGCACAATTCACCACCAGGACTGTAAGGACCTCACATTTATATAGCCAACTTAGAGTAGATTCTTAACATCAATACGACAATTACCTTATAGACCAAGTGGTACTTCCCTTGGCAAGCTCTGCAGATTAAATGAAAGCCTGAGGAACCCTCCCGCAGCTCCAAGTAAATCTGAAGCAATGAAAAAAGGGGGGTGTAGGCAAAGATCCTTCCTCTGTTTATGGGGGAAAAAACCAGTGTGGGTGAGGACCAGCCACTCACACTGGAAGGGACGGGAGGGTCACTGGCTGGCTACTTCCTTCCCTCCCAGAAACAGTTCAGCATGAGAAGGCTCTTCTGCCTGTGCACGGCGTTCCCTTTAAGTACTGACATTAACTGTGTGCCAACTTGCTTCCTTTCCAGGTACATGTCGCCGGCGAAAATAGGCGAAGTGGTGGAGATAACCGCCCAGATCCTGAAGCAAGGGCGGACGCTGGCCTTTGCCTCCGTGGACCTGACCAACAAGACCACCGGGAAGCTGGTGGCTCAGGGCAGGCACACCAAGCACCTGGGGAGCTAGGACACCGGCCAACACCGCCGGCGAGTCCAGGGGACGACTCCACGTCCCTGGCCAACAGATTGTGCAGCCGGCGGCAGCCGAGAACTCGTGTTTCAGGGGCGAGAGCAGCCATGCGGGCCATCTGTTTTCTGTCTTCCATTATAAGCCTCCTCAGCGTTAGCTGTGAACCTCATGTATGACACTGGGATGAAAAGTTCTTCGCTCGGTGTTTTGAAAACGTAAGGCAAAGAACAAACACCTTGAAACTGACATCTAATATTAAACTAAAGGAGAAACAGAAATTAATGGTTAATCTGGTCAATCCTGCTCAGCTTTAAAATGCCGCCTTACATTTCATTTTTGAACCCCCATTTCAAGATTATGGAACTCCAGCCCTGGCCCAGTAACTCATTTAGAGTATTGTTTCAACACGCCAAGGTTTTGGGTTTGATTCCAGACAGGGCACATACAAGAATCAGCCAATAAATGTATTAAGTGGAACCAGTCAGTCAATGTTCCTCTCACTCTAAAAATAAAGATTATGGAACTTCAGAATAGGTGGGCCATCACTCACACTGGAAAGCAGACTGAGTGATGTGGCCTAGACTAACCCCCAAAGAAGCTGGAGGCAAAGCACAGATGGTACAGGAGCGTGCGGTGCTGCTTTTCTGAGGTTTGTTACAGGACTGGCTTATCCCCTATTGGGGGCAGGCATCCCGTTAGCCGCTTGACTGGTACCTAGAATAAACCCCTGCAGGTTTCAGATCCCCCAGACTGCACCGCATCTGGAAGACCAACCCCCAACCTGTTCAGTCTGTGTTGCAGTCCTGCCTAGCCATGCTGAGCATTTTAGACATACTGCCGAGGACTGAGCCCACCTTAGGCAGGTTACTCATCAGTGACGGACGGAGGGCTCTCCTGGCAGCAGCAGGCTGACCCAGGTGAAGGGAGATGATACAGGAATCGCTGCCACCATCACCACGGTCAGGATGGGTTATGGCAAAAGGCACCCACATCCTCCTGAGGAGCTGAAACAGGACACTTAGACCTATAGAACAAACATCAACACAGCCAACTGGCAGGGAGCCTTGGGACGGTCACCAGGGAGGGTGTAAGTCACTGGCCAGAATGCAAGGCCCACACCTCGCGGGAAGAAACTTCCCCCAGATCAAGATGAGCAGCTTCTTTAATGCTGGCCTGTCCTTGCCTGGCTGGTGGCCACCTCCCCTGAGGACGCGCAGGAGGCAGCCCATGAGTTCTCGTCATTCATGTTTCTATCTTGCCCTCTCATCAATTAAAAAAAAATAATTTTTAAAAGCTGACCTGTCTTCTTCAGCAATGCCGAGGTTGGTGAAGGTTGAGGAACTGTCCCAGGTAAAAGGTAACCAGAGACCTAACAGCCCAATGCAGCGATCCTGGACGGCAGGGGGTTAAACACACCACGGAGGGCCCTGGCACTTCCCGAGCTCGGTAACTCTCCTGTGGGACACTCGCCTACGCTCTAAGGAGTAAGGAATCAAGACTCAAAGTTTCACTAATGTTTAAATTTAGGCAGAAAGACAACAAAAACAAATGTGGCAAATGTTAGAAACGTGAGTTGAAGGGCACACAGGAGCTTTCTGCATTACTCGTATCTTTTCAAAAATCTATTCTATATAATGTCTATGCAAATTGTTCTCTCTACAAGTTGGACCGCTCCCTCTGACATGCATTGACCACCAGGGGGTGACGTGGTGCTGGCAGCAAGGGGGGTGGGAGGCAACGAGGAGCTGCCAGCCTGGACAAGAGCCCCCTACCAGAGTGGACTGCAGGTGAGTGGGCCGCACCAGGCCAAGGCCAGTGCGAGTGTGCTGAGGGGGATCGTCCACAGACAGCAACCAGTGTGTATGTGTGTGGGGGGAGGGTAGGCTGAGGGAACTGGGCGGGGCCCAATGACGGGTGGGAGAGGGTGCTTGGGAGTCCAGGTGCTTCCCAGGGCCCAGAGGTCAGCTGGGACCTGCCCTTCCACGCCAGGCACTTGTGCTAGAAGGGCCCAGGGACCACACCTGTGCACGAATTTCATGCACCGGGCCTTCAGTTCTTATTAAAACCAGTGGCTGAGCCGAGACCGGTTTGGCTCAATGGACAGAGCGTCGGCTTGGGGACTGAGGGGACCCGGGTTCGATTCCGGTCAAGGGCATGGACCTTGGTTGCGGGCATATCCCCAGTAGGGGGTGTGCAAGAGGCAGCTGATCGATGACTCTCTCTCATCGATGTTTCTAACTCTCTATCTCTCTCCCTTCCTCTCTGTATAAGATCAATAAAATATATTAAAAATATATATATATATATATATAAATAAATAAATAAAACCAGTGGCTGAGATGCAGACCTTGTTGAACGTTAACTGACAAGTGTAATTCATTAGAGAACAGCAGCTGCTTAAAACCCTCCCTCCTCAACACGTGAGCCTGGGCAGGCACCCACGTGTCCACGCGGGGCTGAGACTTCAGGGCGAGAGCTTAAAGCAGGCCCACAGCAAACACTCCAAGCGCTAGTTCATGATTTCTGGTCTTGCTGACATGCCCACTCCAAGGCTGTGCTTTAGCCGGACTCTAACCCTCCGGGTCATCAATGATGCTCGCAGAGCCCAGGAAAAAGAGTTAACACTTCACACGTGTTGTGTGTTCTCCTGCATCATCGGGGAACTTAACCTATTTTATTTAGGTTTTCATTTTTTCAAATTTCAACCCAAAGCTAAATACAATTGGAAACCAGTAAGCACTGTTTGTTCCCAAGGAGTAGGATCGTTCAGATTTACTCCAGTAAAGTATGCAACCCTTAGCAAAGCTTTTCTTCATTTAAAAGAAACAAAACAAAACAAAAATCTATACAGTAGTCTTTCCTTATGTTCATTGCACAAAATGAGTTCTGCTTTTTATAACTTTGATACTCAATGGTGGTTTTTACAATTTACGATTTCAACTTCAATAACTTTTTCCTACTCCCAAAAAAACCTTTGTAAGTTTTTCTCAAGGACAGTGTAGAAACCAGTATTTCTGCACAATTCACTGGAATTTTTTTCTTTGCAATAAAAATCTCCTCTTTAAAACCAGAAAAGAAAACAAAAACCAAAAGGCAAGTCCTCTACCTAGCCTGGCTTCTGTAGCTACGAGCGAATCGATTTGACAGCTGCATTAGCCACTCGAGGCTCCAGATCTGCTTTCCTGTGTCTGACTGTGTCCACACAGAACACTTTGTAACAGCAGCCTGGAAAAGCGATCTGGAAATAAAACACACATATTTATGAGTACCAGGAAACAAACATGGCCCAGTAAGATCTGAGGCAAGAATGCCTGCAATTGAGATGCTTTTTTCATTTAAGGTTTCTTTCCTGTGGTTGTTTTTTTTTTTTTTGAACAACCACTTCTGGTTATTAGAATGAATCTGACAGTGCTCAGGATCAACGGTGATTCGAGCAAAGCTATGAAGTTTCTAAAGTGTTGTTTATACCTGTTACATTCCCTTCTCACCCTCCAAATACTGATGACAGCTGCCAGAGGAAAACCAGCGCACATGGGAGACCGCAACCATGAGTACCACTGGAGCTTTCAGACACATCGGCATTTCAGTGCACATAGTCCTCACTTCACATTTTAAGATGCTGACGCAGTGCAGCCCGGATGCAGAGCACCCTCTTTCACACAGTCTGTGCAGAAGACATCGAATTTAAGTTCTGAGATACAAATGATTAAAAACAAATCCAGGATGAACAAGTTTCAAAATGCATAGTGTTCTGTGCATGAGTCCATTTTCTTTAAACTCTGAAAGAATAAAGTGGTAAGAAAACAAGAAAAAACTGCCGCTGCACTCTGATCGTCTCCTCTTGCTGGTCAGCACTTTATTCGGGCAGGTAAGGGTGCAGGTGGTCCTCTATGGTGCCAACCGCCCAGTGGGTGAGCTGTTCCTGTGGCAGGTAGAGGCAGATGCTGCATAACTTGAAGATTGTAGCTTTGTTTTTTGGAGTCTGAAAGGGAAGTTTTAATATCCTTAATAAATGAGGCTTTAAGTGCTCGGTTGCCACAAGAAGCCAATCTAACCAATTTATTAAGCGCTTATGGGAACACCTGAGGGTTCTGGGCCACAGATAGAGACCTGGGGGTTCAGGGCTCTGCCATAGGAAACATAGGAAAACAGAGAAGTGTGACCACAGACAGACTAAGTCAACCACAGACTAATTGCTGAAAGAAATCAGGGTTAAAGGCATTTCATGGACAGATTTGAAGAAGTCACGTTTGCATACAGAGAGACAGAAGATGTGATGAGAGCAGAGGCCAGGGGAACAGAAATAGTAAAAAAAAAAAAAAAAAAAAAAAAAAAAAAAAAAAAAAAAGATCTAACACATATAGAGAAAAGAAGCCAAGAACCACGAAGCTCTAAGTTCGACATTTAAAAAGGAAGCTGGATCTAATCCTCCAACGTGGGGCAGGTGTGCTAGGTGCTGCCAACACCCAACTGCCAGATGAATCAAACCAGACCTGCCTCAGAGCCCACCTTGTCAATGGAGCTCCTTAAAAAGGACAGAAAACACAGGTGGCCTTCCTCATTCCTGGCGTCTGGGCATGTACATGAGGTTGATATTTAAGATGAAAAAATGTGCCAGGCCCTGAAAGTGTAGCTCATAGAGTGTTGTCCCCATACACCAAGGTAGCGGGCACATACAACCACCAACCAATGCAAGCAAGAAGTGGAACAGCCCTAACCGGGTTGGCTCAGTAGATAGAGCATCAGCCTGCAGACTGAGGGTCCCAGGTTTGATTCCGATCAAGGGCATGCATCTTGGTTGTGGGCACATCCCTAGTGGGGGGGGAGTGCAGGAGGCAGCTGATCGATGTTTCTAACTCTCCCTCTCCCTCACTCTCTGTAAAATAATCAGTAAAATATATTTAAAAAAAAAAAAAAGTGGAACAAAGAGATGTCCTTCCCCACCCCCTCCTCTCGCCCTCTCAAATCAATACATGAGAATTTAAAAAATAACTTTTAAAAGCACCACGCTTGGTCCTTGGCAGGTAGTTCAGTGGTTACAGCATCACCCCAAAATTCCGAGGTTGGGGTGTTTGATCCCTGATCAGGGCACACACAGGTCCAACCAATGAGTGCTAAGTGGACAACAAACTGGCATTTCTCCTGCTCTCCTTCGTCTCACAAAATCAATTAAAAAAACCGTGCCCTAGCGAGTTCTGATATGCAGCCAAGTCTGGGGACCACTGCCTTAGGGTCAGGCCCAGGAGATGGGCTTCCTGTTCTGTAAATAACTTCAAACCAATGCAGCGACGAAGGGCAAAACAGAGCCCAGCCCGCGCACAGAAAGCAGTTTGGCGGTCAGGGAAGGGGTGGAGCAGCCCGATCTGGCCCAGGCCCACCTGCAAGTGCTGCCTGTCGATGAAGAGAAACACGGACTGGCTCGGGTTGTTGACCACAATTCCAGTCTTGTCCTTGCGGCTCAGTACATGCAGAAACTGTTTTTCATAGTCACCGTGATGAAACTCAAATTTAGCCTAATTAGAAAGCACAAACACGTGTAAGTAATCACACTGCAAATAGGTTACACGATGTGAAACACATATACGGCTGTGCTACCGCACATGCGAGCCAACACGGGTCCGTAATTAAAACGCAATTAGACATTGTCTTCAGGAAGCCACATTTCAGTGCTCAGTGAGCGCGGGCAACGAGGGGCCCCGCTGTGAACGGACACGGAGCAGCCTTCTGCTCCTCTTCACCCCAAGCCCGGCCCAGGACGGTCTGCACCTGCTATGGCAGGCGTGTGTGGTGCCAGGGGAGAGGACCCCTCCCTAAAGTCAGCCAATGCCAACCTTACAATTACAAACTTCTCTGGCCATAACCGCAAACATACTGGGGAGCTGAGAACCTCATTCTCAAGAGATTCCACAATTCAGTGCTTTCTCTAGTCAAAAGGACAGAAGGGACTAAAATTCATTACAAAGCATTGCCCCAGGAATTTCCTAAGTCAAACCCTCTTCAGGAGTTTCCCATTAGCTGCTCTCCACATTTATTTCAGAAGAGAATACCTGAACAGGCCTAAAAGGCTCATCAGATCCCTTCCACCTAGAAAACAGGAGACAGACAATTTTCTCAATGTCATTCCGAGGCCAAAGAATGAAATCCATCTCCTGAGTACAGCCAATCACGTCCTGTGAGGTGACAGAAAGAGAAAAGGAGAAAATCACTTTTATGGAGACCGAGTTGAAGGAGCAGCAGCACAAATGAAGCGGCCTGACTACCGAAACACCAAGGCAGCAGCACTGGGACCGAGTTCTAATTCCTGTCCAATCGCTCAAGGTGCCTCCATCAAGACTCCACCTAGGGCTCGGGTTCTTTGTCTTTTTTTAAACTCCCTGCATGTTTATTTCCACCCTTCAAAATCAGAAATACTTAAGCAAAGGCATCTTGGGACATCTAATATGAGCCACTACCTTCTTGTTACAACTGTTGCCGATGCTGATGGTCTCTCGCCACGGTACAGCACAGAACTGTCCGGAGGCCACCGACCTCTTCCAGACCAGCCCCCGGTAATCTCCAGTCCTCCAGACCCTACTACCATGGGGGCGGGGCCTCTTGTGCAAATCCGAGGAGTAACGCCCAATGAGTCGCAGAAGTTCAGAAGGTTGGCGGCAGTAGCAGCATTTTCTGCTTTAAGTGTCTCATTCATTAGGGGCATGACCTTATTTCTCTCCCCCAAAGGAAACCCAGTGAATAGTACACCGTTATCAGCTTAATACCACATGAGGAAGTTACCCATTTGAAGTCAGCTCTTAAGAGAGTCATGGCCACAGTAACTGCACGTTTGTGGGGGGCCAGGGTGCCGTGCCAAGGCGAACTCACTACAACATACTAGCCCCGGACAAACCCACGCTCACCCTTCTCATAGACTGGTATCGCGGGGCATGGAGCTGTACCACGTCCTTCTGCAAAAGCTCCACGGAACTCTCCAGCGAATAGCTGCACTCCCGCACGCCTTTCAGGATATTTTCCTCGTAATTATTTGTCATGACTGGTATAACCTCAGACACTTCAAAAAGTGCTGACTTTTTCTTCTAGAAGAAAAAAAAGTTATCAATCCACTGATAACACACTGTCTTTTAACACTCAGTCCATATTACAATGTCACAGACCTTCATTCTAACTCAGCAAAATTCTTCAAAGAAGTAATTTTTGTGCTGAGAACACTGACTTTAAATAGATAAATTTTTCTGTCTCCACACTCCCAACCCCAGCCCATCAGAATGTCTTAACCACATGGTTTCACAGCATCATGTACCCACAGCAAATGTCTATTTTATTTATTTAATATATCTTATTGATTTCTCACAGAGAGGAAGGAAGAGGGATAGAAAGTTAGAAACATCGATGACAGAGAAACATCGATCAGCTGCCTCCTGCACACCCCCTACTTGGGATGTGCCTGCAACCAAGGTACATGCCCTTGACCAGAATCGAACCTGGGATCTTTCAGTCCGTAGGCTGAGCCAAACCGGTTTCGGCACAAATGTTTATTTTATAAACCATTTATTGCCCTAGTCACTGATGGAGCACCGGCCTGAGGCTGAAGGGCCCCAGGTTCCATTCTGGTCAAGGGCACATGCCTGGGTTATGGGCTCAATCTCCAGTAGGGGGCAATGCAGGGGGCAGCCAATCAAGGATTCTCATTGATGTTTTTTCTCTCTCTCCCTCTCCCTTCTTCTCTGAAATCAATAAAAGTATTTTTTTAAAAGAAAATATTTCTTAAATGCTGTAACAAACACTAGCATCTCTCAAATTGAAAAAAGTGATTTACTCTTGATATAACTTCATTAACTGGTTCTACAAACAGCTAAATTAAAATCTCAGCAATTTAAAGACAAAGCTATCAAAATAAATGAACCGTTTTACTCTTTAAAGGTCAATTTCAATGATTTCTTTTGGATATTACATAACTACAAGTGTCAATATTTGAAAGGGGAAAAAAAGTAAAAAAGTCAACCAAATTTTGTTTCAGATCCTCTCCATTCACAGGATAAAAACAGGTTTTCTCGGGTTTAAAGAGTCAGATGGTACAGTGGATTGAACATCAAGATCTAATATAACCACTTATATACTGGATTTGTTTCCAGTGAACCTTTCTTACAATCTTGTCAACTAAAATCCGGTCTTATCCATTCTTTAGTCAACTTATTTACACACACAAAAGCGAGGGAGAGAATGGAGAAGTAACTCTGGGACTATCCAACCTGGGAGCAACCCCTCAGAACTCCCCCGTGTGAAGGCGCCTCAGCCATCCGCACCCTCCATCCTGCAGCAAAGAGCTTCCCCCGACCCCAACCTTTAGGGGGAAAGAGGGTCAAACCTCGGAAACTTTTAAAACAGATCCGTTAAGATTACACTTCTGACCTGAAATTAGCTCCCAATTGAAGTGCAGAAATCCCACTCTTTCCTTATATTCATAAAATAATCTCATGTCAAATAAAGATTAAGAAACCGCCATTACTTTAAGCTGCAAAAAACTACTCATTGTTTGCTATTTAAGTGTGGACTTCTGATGAAGGCCAAACATATTTAAACTTCCTATTTCACTTTAATTTTCAGTGAAATTCACTTCCACACAAATAACCATGAGCTCCTCCACTGAACTGTGCACCCACTTCACTGCCCAAACCCAGGAAGGGGCCTGCATCCTGGCGAGGAGCAGGCTGCTTTCAACCTCTGACCCGGTTACCACTTCCAATGCCTATTTGTCCTCGCGGGAGACCATCTGTGACAGTGGAACGAACGTGCTGGGGGGCATCAATGAGACTTACAGCGTGGCCCCCCCTTGCCACCTCTCTCTAAGCTAATAGACCCGTTCCTTTAACATCTTCCAGAACCACCTGTGCTAATTCAGGGTAGGAACTCTGAATTACCTTCTCCTTGAACACAAAGGCAATGTACATCTTGAAGTCAAACTGGTCAGCTAGAGACTCTTTCTTCTTCCTAAGCTGAGCGCGGAGTCTGTTCAGCGCTTGTTTCTTCCGGGAGTTCGGGTCCCCCATTTTGAAATACAGGTGGTACTAAAGCCTTTGGAAATTGTCGCTAAGCTATGGGCACTTTTTCTTAAGACTCAAGTACAACAGAAACAAGTCATTTCCCCTGCTAATAGGATGGGATGGCTAACGTCACAGCTGCACCCCAAACGGCCCCGCAAGATCAGCAGGCTGTCATGCCACCGGGCCCGGAAGCCCGCGGTGCCGCCCGGCCATGTTCGGACAGGAACGTTTGGGGTGAAGGTGGGAGAGAGGAAGCGGAGGAAGGCAGGAAAGAGGAGGAAAAACTTCACCTAATTTTTTGGAAAACACATCTGGCTCAAGTACCAAACTATAGGCTCTGGGGGAGGGGGAGAGGGGACGCCTATTCTCAGGGTTTAGGTGTGCAACCCAACACCGCTGACACCGGTCCAATCCTTAGAACCCATCCCGACTTTCCCCTCTTAGAAAAGGGATGATGACAAGGTGGGGGGGGGGGGGGTTGGGGGGAGTGAGATCCTTGCTTTCCAAATACCAAAGAGAAAAAAAAAGAGGAAGAAGGAAAAAAAAAAAAAAAAAAAAAAAAGACCTTCCCCAAAACCCCAAAACAGGGGAAGGCAAATGAAACTGAAACACCCAATTGGATTTTACCCAGCCCGGTCCATGGCCGCAGAACCGAGTCAGTTCTCCGCCGGCTCAGGCCTCGCTGTGGCTGTGTATTGTCAGCGCTGGCTAGTGGTGACTCTTGGCGGTGGGCAACGACAACAGTGCAAAGTCGGTCGAGGAGGGAGGGGAGAGGCTCGGGGTTTCCCTGCGATCAACTACAGTGCATGCCGGGGGCGGGCAGCTGTCGCCCACAGGAGCCAGGAGCAGAAACCGCGGAGTCATTTCCAACCGCCCCGCCAGCCACCCCGCCCGCAGGCGGCCGCCGGCGCTGCTGCCCAGGACCATGGTGGCGGCAGAGGGCGCGGGGGGGAGGAGAGAACACGCTGGAGAACCGCTCCGGCTCTGTGGCCAGACAGCGCCCCGAGCCCTGCCAGGGAGCCCTGCCTGCCCCCGGGGGAGCCTTCCCTAGGACCCGTCCCCGATCCGGACCGTGAGCATCGCTGAGGCCAAGGGGGGGCGGGTGCTTCTCCCAAATCCAGGCCGCGCCGGGGGGACCGCCTGCCGCCGCCCGGGCCCGCTGCCCCCTCTGCCGTCAGCGGCGGCGGCGACTCACTCGCACCGCGGGAGGCACCGGATCGCTCAGGTCTTCGCTCATCTCATCGCGGAAACAACTCCCGCCCGGGTCCAGGAGGCGGGGCGGGGTTAACGGGAAGGATCAGGGGGGAGGAGGGGGGGAGAAGAAATAAAATAGTTGTATTATTATTAATTACTTTCTTTTTATATCTATGTAAGGACGCCCACCCCACCCCCCGAAAAGAAATGAAATGGAGTTCCCGGACCCGCGCGCTCACGTTGAACAGACCATGTTTCCCGAGTTTGGATGGTGCAGGGCGGGGTCGCGGGCGGGCCCTTAGCCGCAGCCCGCGGGCGGAGCGGCGGCGGCGGCGGAAGAGGCGGCGGCGGGGGCGCTGCTCGCGGCTCGGGCGGGAGCCATGTCAAGAGAACACCAGCAGCCGGCCGAGCCCCGCCATCCCCGCTGCGGCGCGCACTGGGGCCGGGCCGCCCGCGCTGCTGCCGCCGCGCAGCCCCCACCTGGGACCCATAGTCTGGCTCGGCGCCCGGGCGGAGGGAGGACGGGACGGCGGCGGGAGAGAGAGAAAGCGGGAGAGGAGGAGAGCGGCGGCCCCGCGCTGGGGAGGGAAGGAGGAAGGGAGGGAGGGAGGGAGGGAGCCCTGCGCTAAGGTCCTCCGGCGAGTCAAGCCCGAGCAAAGTTAGCTCAGTCCAAGCATCTGCTCCGAGTGCTCCTGGCCCCCGGCGGCGCCGGCTCGCGGGACAGCGGGTCGCAGAGAGCCGAGGGGAGGACGCGCGTCCGCGGCGGCACGGCCTCGTCCCCCGCCACCGGTGGCTGCGGAAACGGCGGCGGCCTGGGCGCCTCCCGGGTCCCGGCAGAGTCGCGTTTGAGCCGAGAAGCCAGAACAAACAACTTAAAATGGCAGCAACGCCGCTGCGTCACCCGCCCCCCGGTGGCACCGCCCCGAGCGCGCTGCGCCTGCGCGCCCCGCGGGCCTCACCACCCGCGCGGGAACGGAGGGGGAGAAGCGCCGGGGCGCGCGGGGCGTCCGAGTTATCCAGGAGGGGCGGGAGAGAGGAGCCAGGGAAAGGGATCGAAAAGAGGTTTCTCAAGGCGGAGTCTTTGATGGGAAACTGCTTAGGGCAACCCTTCCGCCTCCAACGGGAGTGTGAGCATAGAGATCCCTCCCTCTTGCCCCAGAATGGAGCGTCCTTGGGGCGGGGACGCGGCCGCCCACTCCCTCCGGAAGTTCAGGGCCCCGGAGTTGGCCCCTCCCACCTCCTGTCGTCATAAAGCCACGCCCCATGCTTTCCCCGCTAGAGCACCCGGATGGAACCGCTTTTCCGGGATCTTGTGCGCCTCTTCTGCGCGCGCAGGGCGCGGGGCGGGGCCCGGGGTCGAGAGGGGGCGGGGCGTAGGGGTGAGGCGGGGCGAGGGAGGCGTGGAGGAGAGGGAAGTGAGCGGGGAGGCTGGAGGTAGCTTCCTGTTTCATTTCCTTTCGCTGTTATTCCTAACCCGCTGACGGGTAGTCCTTCGAGGTGTCTGTGCTGCGGAGCCCTGCAGCCCCGAGCCGGGAATTCATGTCCAATGTCTGCGCAGCAGGATCCGGGTCCCGCAGGTCCCACGCGGCTCTGTCCCCGCCTCGCCACGTGCTCAGCAGCCTAGGCGGCCCTCAAGTTCTGGACAAGGTCATCGATGGCTTGGAGCGCTGCTGCAGCCATTTGGGAGGAAAACACCCCGTCCTGCTGCGTGGGTCCCCCCACCCTCATTTCCTTCAGAACACGACTTCTGTTAGGATCCCCCGGACCGCAGGCCTAGGTGCTAGAAATGTGGGGCTTTTGCCACTGAATCACAGGTCCCTGGCACCAGAGAGCCTTCGTTTCCTTTTTTTAGACCTCCAATGTGCTGATGAAAACGCGGTTAGGCCGAAACCGGTTTGGCTCAATGGATAGAGCGTCGGCTTGGGGACTGGAGTTCGGGACCCGGGTTCGATTCCGGTCAAGGGCATGTACCTTGGTTGCGGGCATATCCCCAGTAGGGGGTGTGCAAGAGGCAGCTGGTCGATGACTCTCTCTCATCGATGTTTCTAACTCTCTATCTCTCTCCCTTCCTCTCTGTACAAAATCAAATAAAATATATTTAAAAAAAAAAAAAAGAAAACGCGGTTAGGTAATCAGCAAAAGCCAAAGCTGGACAAAAGCAAAGCCTATATACTCCTCACGGGCTACTCTCTGTGATAAAGTTTTAGAAGTCCATTGGGTCCCCAAATTACTGCTCTTCACTTGGTAAAATCAAAATAGATTACCTATAATAACATCTTTTTCACCCTTGGGCCAAAAGAATAATTGGGACCCACCCTTCAACATTCATCCAAAACTAAAGTCAAAGGAGCTCATGAGGGTGTGGACCATGGGGCCACATGCTGACCTGACAGCTCAGGGGAGGCCTGTGTGGCAGGCTTGCAACTCAGACCTAAAGAGATCGGTCTGAAATTAAACTTTAAACGAAGTTATTGTGGGCAGTTACATCCTAGGCCGGTATCTTCATTGACAAGGTTAGCCTTTACCTTAACTGAGCCTGTCAGTCTTTTCGCACCTATGATAACACACTCTTGAAGTGTCTGGGTAACTTGTAACTTCCCTTTTTCTGAAGCCCCTGGGGCACAACCCTATGTGGTGGGTGCCAGGACAGAGATCACAAATTCCTTATCAAATGTTAATTGTTCCTGCACCCACGTAGGTTTGTGTCCATCATTTTAATTTTTATCCAATCTCAGGTGTTTCCCACAGCTTTGCTTAATCCAGCACCAATGAATTTCATGTAACCCACCTGTGTCCCCCTCCTTTGATGGCAATGTATAAATACAAGTGTAACCCGCCATTCTCTGGAGCATCACCTCAATTTGTTTCAGGCATCTGTTGACAGTTTGGCTCAAATAAACTCACAATTCTTTACAGGTTTCAGTGTGGTTTTTTTTTTTGTTTTGTTTTTTATTTTTTTATGTTAACAGGTGGCCTGAAGCCAATATGATGGGTGTCAAAAGAAGAGGGAGAGATACCAGGGATGCTGTGGATAGAGAAAAGAATATGTCTTTTTAACTATGCATTCTTCTTTCCTTAATTCTGTTAGTGAATTCATAAGAAGCCCCATGAGCATTATTTTATTATCACAATATTCTGATCAGGATCCTTTAACTACTGTTTGAAAGTGTTGTGGGGTTGAACCTGGGTTCAAAATAAGACCACCGGAGGCTGAAGATTGATTAAAAAAAAGCAGGCAAGGGTTTATTGGAAAACTGGCCAGGACGGCAGCAGGAGCACCACACACAGTGGGCCTCACAGGACTGCACTGATCCAGGTGTAGGCAATCCCTTTTAAAGCTTCAAACCAAGGGATTTCCCTTCGTTCTAAATTCCAAAGGCTTGGGAACGTTGGAATGTGGCCCTATCTTGCCCATAATACAAAAGCAGAACTCAGAGGTTAATCTCTAAAGGTTATCTATAGTTTCTACCCCTGAAGCTACTGAGTAAGTGGGAGTCAATCTCCTCTAACTACCTATTGTTTAAGCAAGTAATCAAAGGTTGAAGTCAGATAGCAAGGTTAAAATTCAAACAGCATTTTTTACCCAAGTATGATTGCTACCATATTTCAAAAGCACTCACTATGTAAACATGGAATGGAAAATAAAAAGGACAGCTGTTTTATTTTTAAAAGCCAACAAAGAGCAAAACTGACATGTGCGACTTCCTAATAACACCAGTTGTTTTACTTCTGTTAAATCTATAGTTTTACCATATTTAGGGGAAAAAGGAAATGATCTTGCTTTAGATGAATTCCTTTTTTTAAATCTCTTTTCCAATAATAAACATACATTGCTTATTAATGCTAATCTTACATGCTAACTGATTTTCTGCATTTTGTTGATTCAAATATCCAATTTTCTTAATTTAAAATGAAAAACAAAAACAAAAACAAAAAAACCCAGGCCTGGCCAGGTAAGCTCAGTTGGTTAGATTTCACCCTGCAGAAAACCTTCCTTAAATGTATGTAAAGTTGCAAAGTAGGAGTGTTATGGGAGAATTACCGTGTTTCCCTGAAAACAAGACATCCTCCGAAAATAAGACCTAGCACATGGAAAGATAAGACATCCCCTGAAAATAAGACCTAGCGCAACTTTGGGAGAAAAAAATTAATATACGACACTGTCTTATTTTCGGGGAAACAGGGTAAATTCCCCTGTCACCGGTAGGAGTGAGGTTCTGGGAATATCTTCAGAAAATGAACTTTCTAGAAGCCCTATGGGAAGACAGATGTCCTCCCTTATTTGCAAGGCCCCACTTCCCCCACGCCAGTCCTGAAAGGGGCAGCTGGGAGGCCAGCAGAGCCAGAGGCAGGGCCATTGTCCCGAGCTTCCCGGTCCACGTGGCAGCCACGCGTGGCTCAGCATTCAAGCTCACCCACGTCCATTGTCCGTGTGTCAACGCTCTTACACCCTCTTTGATGGGGTTTCAGTTTTTCCTTTGTTAAAACTCCCCAGAGCAGGCAACTCTGCGTTGAGGAGAAGATGAAGAAAACTAATGGTCCTTTTTCTAGCTGGTTGTCACCTCTTCCCAAGGGCTCTAACTCCAGGGAAGCAGCAGAGAAAGCCGACTTTCCAGCTTTTTTCAATTCAAATGCACTTTGCAAAGCCCTTGCCCCCAGGGCAGGGTGAGGGGCCTGAAGGAAGACCCTCCCAGCAGCCCCGGTCCCCGCCCCGGGGAGGTGCCTTAATCCGACTGGATTCTGAGCTGTGAGGGGCAGGGCTCCCTGCAGCCGCTCTGCTCTCCAGTAGCTTCCCGGTGCCCTCGGGCAGGTTGGCGGCACCTTTTCAGAAACTCTAATCTGTCAGCCGAAACTGCACTCTCAGGTGGAGCTGCCTCCGGCCTCAGCCTCAATCGTCCTGCAGAGGCGAGCAGTGCCTGGTTTACTGGCCCAGCCTGTAGGTGGCAGTGTCGGGCGGACCTGCCTAGAGAGCCTCACTGGGTGGGGCAGGCCTGGGCCGGCTTCCAGAATGTGCCCCCTGGTAGTGGCTGAAGGGCCTGTGCTGCTTCACTGCTTTGTCACCATCTCCCAAGTTATTCACCATTTTAAACAAGAAACTCACTTTTTTTGTGCACTGGGTCCCACTCCTGACCCCGCCACCTGCACCATCCCTTCTCACAAAAGGGCCAGATGTCCCAGGTTCTAGTTCCTCCCCTCCTTCTCCGGCCGCCTGAGGGCACCGGCCATGGCTCTGTCATACCCCAGTTGCCTGGCACTTGGCTTGCAGACAGAACTCACTTCCCTTTTCCACTCAGGAGGGGAGAGAAATGATTCTTTCATGCACCCGTTTCAAAATTATTTATCACGCCTCTTACAAGAAAACAGCCTTTCTTGGAATGGTGAAAGTAACTTTGATTCCACCTTTTTCTCTTCAGCTTCAGAATGTCACCTATGGCCCCGACTGGTTTGACTTAGTGGATAGAGCATCGGCCTGGGGACTGAAGGGTCCCAGGTTCGATTCCGGTCAAGGACATGTCTCTAGGTTTCGGGCACATCCCCAGAGAGAGGGGTGTGTGTGTGCGTGTGTGTGCATGTGTGCAGGAGGTAGCTGGTCGATGTTTCTAGCTCTCTATCCCTCTTCCTTCCTCTCTGTAAAAAATCAATAAGAAATATTTTAAAAAAAGAAAAAAAGAATGTCAATTATTAGAATGAAGATCAGCAAAAGATGGTCCTGGGGCCAAATTAGGCCTGGGGCCTGGGGAGAGAGAGAGAGAGAGAGAGAGAGAGGAAAAGAGAGGCCAACAATGGCTTTTATCTTTTCAGGGGTTGTAGAAACCTAAACTATTTCCTCTCTGTCCCTTTACGGAAAGGCTCCCAGCCCTGGGCTTCCAGAACTGTCTCAGTCTGCCTCCCTCTCGCAGAGGTCCCAAAACGACAGATGTCTGTCAGCGTCCAGGGCAGTCCTGTCTGCACCGCATCCCTCCTGGCTCTTCTGCACAAGGGCATTCCTGCCCTTCCTCTCTGGGCAAGCCCGGGCAGGCGGTCTGAAGCACAACACTTTCCAGGAAAATGTCTGTGGTGGATGCCATGTGCCAGACATCAGGCTGCTGCAGGCCAAGGGCAAAGAGAACCAGGGAGGAGGAGAGGGTGCAGGGACCTCCTGCCAAGGGGCGCTCTTTAGAGTGAGCGCCGGCACCTGCCGCGGCAGAGGCTCTGTTACCGAGCACAGGTGCGAGGTGAGCTCCGAAGAAAAGCCCTCAGAACCTCAGGCGAGCCCTGGCCGGTTGGCTCAGTGGATAGAGCATCGGCCTGCAGATCGAAGGGTCCCGGGTTCGATGATTCCGATCAATCTAGAGTCCAAACCTCGGGTGCAGGCTGCTCCCTGGCTCAGGAGCGGGTCTGGACTCCTGCAAGAGGCAACCAACCGATGTGTTTCTCTCACATCAATATCTCTGATTTTCCCTCTCTCTAAAGATCAATGGGAAAATATCCTCGGGTGTGGATTAAAAAAACACCACCACCTCAGGCAATTCTCCATTCCTGCAGGGCGCCCGTCTAGACCGGCATTCAGATGCCACACATACCAGCGGACCGCGTGGCAGGAGAGCCGAAGGGATCTGACCTAAACAGGTGAAAGGGTTGTCGCAGGCTCTGGGCCTTCGCGATTTTCCCTGAACTAGCCATCACTTCCTTCAATAAAAACAGGCCAAGCAACACCGAACGCATGAAGTCCCACACCATTCCAAACTGACGGTACGATGAGCACATCCAGATGACGTCGGACTTAGTGGGCTTCGCACCCCCGGGGAAATCGCCAGTGCTCCCACAGCTCTGCGGGTTTTTATCTACAGTAACACCTGGGTTCCACCCTCCGGCTCGCTCACCACGTTCACGCTTCCCCTCCCAGCTTTTCAGTTCTGGAAAGAAACAACATCATTATGAACTGTGCTTTATGCATTACCCAGTGCAGTGTCCTTGAATGTAACTTTTAAAACATATATACATATATATTTTATTGATTTCAGACAGGAAGGGAGAGGGGGAGAGAAACATCCATGATGAGCGAGAATCCTTGATGGGCTGCCTCCTGCACGCCCCCTGCTGGGGATCAGGCCTGCATGCGCCCTCCAGCTCCACTACCGAACCTCGCCCACCAGGCCCGAGTATAACTTGCTTAGACTTTGAACCTGACCTACCCTGCTGGATCGCGTGCTGCGCGAGGACACCCACAGTGAGTCACTGAGGCCTGCCTGGCTGATGCCTGTCCTTGCCGCCATTCTAACTCCGAAAACCAAGTCTTCTGATGGTTTCCAATCCGTGGACTGTGTCCTTTACGGATTTAGATGCCCTGAGCTACCTCTCCCTCAGAGTCAGCGCCGTCCGACCGTGCTTTGCCCGTTTTCAGCGGCCACAGGAAGGCCGGGGAGAGCGGCGGGGGCGGCACAGACGGGGGAGCCGGTGCTCAGAGCAGCGCCGGCGGAGTGAGACCGCTCCTCCCTCCGGGCACAGAGGGGAGAGCCGGGAACGCCGACTTCGGTGACACCTGGTGGGCCCACGCCTCCCGCCCGCAGAGCCCACCAGGAGGACTCTGTGTGGGAGGGAGGAGGGGGTGGTAGGAAAAGCTGCCCGCAGGACCGCGGTCTGGTCGCCCCGAGTTGCAGGGCAGCGGGATCCCGCGTCGGGAACCCACGTGGTACCTGAGCGCCTCCTGAACCCTAAGAAGTCAAAATGCAAAAAGCCCGAAAGCGCAGGCTCCGCCCACATCGGGGAGCCCGCGGGGCCAGGGCTGCGCGTGCAGGTCGCCATCCTCCCGGTGCGGGCGGCGGCGGAAGCCGGTCTCTCCGCCACCCGGCTGCCCCGGGAGCGGGGTCAGAGGTCAGAGGTCAGGACGCGGGACCAGGTACCGACTTCTTCGCGCAGAGACTCGCGCAGGCGCAGGTGGGGGGGAGGGGTTGGCAAGGCGGACGGCGATTGGCCGGATTCTGGAAGCCACACCCCTCGGCGAGGTCACGTGTCGGTCGGGGCGGAGTTGGCGAGCTTTCGGAGCCGCGCGCGTCAGCCGCTGGGCGGGGTTGGGGCCGGCGCCGGTGGGCCGGGGTCTGGGCGAGGCGGCGCCGCCCGGGCGGAACAGTTCGCTCCGGCGAGTGAGCGGTGGCAGGAGGTCTACGCGGGGGCTGCCCGCCCGCCGGCATCGGCTCTCCCGTGACTGCGCGGGGCCGCGGTAAGTGAGTTTTGGAACGGGGACGGGGCGGGGCAGTCGGTGAGCCGCCGGGCCGCCCCATTGGCTGGGCCGATTTTGGCGCGCTCCCCGTCCGCGCTCCCTATTGGCTGGGGCGCAGCGCCCCCTGCTGGTCGGGGCTGGGAGGCGGTGTGGCCGGCGCAGTGGGGAGCGGGACGTCCACGCCCCGGGCCGCGGGCTGGCGGGGGTCCGGCGCGAGGGGCGCGGGGCCCGCACACCGGGCCCGAGGGGGCGGTCGCTGAATCTGGCCCCTCGTTAGACAGCGGCACTGGCGCCGGGGACACCGGCTGCCCCGAGCGGCAGCCGTCACCGGGCCCCGGGCCCGTGCGCGTGTCTTCGGTTGGAAAGAAGCGGAGCGTGGACGCGGGCGCCGGGCCCTGACCGCCGGGCCGGGGGCGGTGGCTGTCGCCTCTGCAGCGGGACGCGGGCGAAGGCACGTTTCACATCGCAATTGAGGACGCAGCCACCCAGCTCCCCACAGGCCACGCGCTCGCGTATTTTCAATTCCGTCCCGATCACTTTTTATTTTTTTCCTTAAACGACGTTGGTGACTCCCTGAGGGACTGCGGGGTCCCGGGCAGCTACGCTCGGTTTGGAAAACATCGCCCTGGTTCACTCGAGGGTCCCCGACCAGCCTTTGCCCCACACGAAACGGCACAGAAGATAAGGCGCATCCCCACCCTCGTGTCTGAGCGCGAGGCACCGGGGGAGAGGAGTGCGCGACGGGCAGTACAGTCAGGGTGGGCACCCCGGACCCGGGAAAGCCATGGCCACCACTAGGGCAGGTCCTTCCGAGACACATGTCCGGGGGCCAAACGCGGGTGTCAGTCTGGCCCCGTGGGGTGCTGACCCTCGGTGCGCACCCCGTTACCTGCTGCTCCCGATGGCGCTTAAACACGTCCTACAAACGTAAACGCATCGTCGTCTCCCTGGGTCGGATATTGAGCCCCCCCCCACGTGCTTGCCGAGTTTATCACAGCCTGTCTGCCGTGGAAAGGGGTGCTGTTCTCTAGGACTGAGGCGGGCACACCCGGATCTGTGCTTCGCCTTCCCTGGTGGCACTCGCAGATCTTTGAAGAGCCCTGTACCTCGTCCAGGATGCTGGCGTGTTTTGTGCATGTTTTTTTTTTCCTTTTGCAACAAGATTTCCCCAACCAGAGTTATTGTGTGTGTGTGTGTGTGTGTGTGTGTGTGTGTGTGTGTGTGTGTGTGTGTATAGACAATACAGATGTCGTGGGTCACTGGCTCCCCTGGCTCCAGTCCTGGGCGGGGCTGAGAAGAGACCCTCCCCCCCGGGAAGGCGCAGGCCCCGCCCCCAGGGGCCGGCGCCCTGTGCTGTGGGTGACCGCCTGTCCTTCCCCAGGTGCACAATGAACCCCAGTATGAAGCAGAAGCAGGACGGCACCCATGGGCGCGTGCAGGTATGTGATGGGGTCGCTGTCATGGGGTGGGGAGCACGTGGGTGGGAATGTTTTGACATGAATGTTTAGCCTAATTATGGCTATTGTTTCCAAGAACCTTAAATCACTGAACGTTTGGCCAGAGGAAAAGCAACAGTAGAGAACCGTTAAAGAATGAACTGTGGTTGGATGTTAAGGTTTCTGATCTTCCCATGTAGTTAAGTCGTTAGTTTCTTCCAACAGAGCATTGCCGTGTTCGGAGAACTGAGCTGTACACGCCTTTCGTTAAGTTTTTACCTAAATATTTTATTTTTAATGTTGTGGGTGGAGCTGCTTCTTTAGGTAGATTTCCAGTGTGCTCATTGTTCCACAGAGAAACACCGCTGATTTTTGGCGCCTTGATCTTGAATCCTGCAACCTTGCTGAAGTTGGTCAGCTCTGATAGTTTGCACTAGGTCCTTAGGATCTTCTGTAAGCAAGGTGCTCATTATTGCTTTCCTTCTGCTCCACATTCCTTGCTGATTATATGCAACATTTCGTGTGTGTGTGTGTGCGCTCGTGTGTGTGTTTTAAAGAGGTTCACAGAGCCCTAGCCGGTTTGGCTCAGTGAATCGAACCTTGGCCTGTGGACTGAAGGTCCCGGGTTTGATTCCAGTCAAGGACACATGCCCAGGTTGTGGGCTGGATCCCCAGTAGGGGGCGTGCAGGAGGCAGCTGATCCATGATTCTCTGTCAACATTGATGTGTCTGTCTCTCCCTCTCCCTTCCTCTCTGAAAGCAATAATTTTTTTTTTTTTTTAAAGAGGTTCACAGAATCTTAAGTTGTTCTCTAAAAAGGATAAGAACCTTTTGGCTGTAATGAGTCTATTATTCCAGTGCATGATCCGTGTAAAGAAAAGGGAAATAGCAGTATCACATTTCCAGGGGTAGATGCCACGGAGCTTACGTTATAAAATGCCTTTTTGTGAGACGGTCAGCTGTGGCTTCCTTGGCCATTGTGGGTAGCGAGCACTTGAATCAGCACCTCCTGCCGCTCAGGCCCGGAGCCCTGTTTGTTCCTTCCAGCGTCTGGGGCTGCGGCTAATCGGAATCACATCCGAAATGCCGGCGTGGTGCTTGTTCTCGCCGGAGCTGGCACCGGTTCTCCAATTAGCGGCGAGACGCCGCTCAGCAGGGAAACCCGACCGTGGGAAAGGTGAGCTCGCGCCGTGGGGTGCGCGGTGCCGGCGCCGCTTTCCCACGCTGCTCCGGTGTCCTGCCCGCTGACCTTGTGTGAGAGCCACCATTGTTTGCTGTCCTGTGGTGGCAGAATAACTAATGATTTTTTTTTTTTTTTTTTTTTTTCAAAACTAGAGCAAATACACGGGAAGGTATTTACATATTACAAGGAAGGCCGTCTTTTCCCAAAGCAATAGCTGGGCCGTTTGCAGCATTTAAAGTGCCCCGGCTCTGACATTTCACTGGCTCCCGATGGGCTCTGAGCAGACCGCTCCCGCAGGGGGGGTGAGGGGGGGTCCTGTTACATGTCTGTGGCTTTGTGTAAGCTATGTTCTTACACTGTTCCTTTGGGGAGCACATGGGAGGTTAGCGGGTAGTCATGATTCCAAGGAAGTCCAGACAAATCCTGTCGGTTAGAGGAGAAGTATTGTGCAGTGTGAGCAATTACTCTTTCTCCCCATTCACCTGTTTTCTGGGTTTCTACCACAAATGTGTTAAGTTTGGGTGACACGATGCCATTCTTGTGTTTCTTCAAACTTTATTATAATTTTAGGGAAATAAGTTCATACCTAGCACTGAAAAATTACACAGCGGACCAAATTCAGGTGTGGGGCCAACGGAGGTGTACAGCTATCCAATCAGAAAATAGTACAATACTTAGTAAACAATAACACAAGAATAAACCCTTTCGTGTACTCACAGCTGTAACCCTGTGTTTGCCCATCCCGGCTCAGTGTCCCTGTGGTAAGGTGTGGGAGGGCGAAGGTGGTCAGGGTCCATGTAGCGCTCAGGCGCCCGATAACGAATTCTCCCCACTCCAGAGCAGTCCTGTCCCGAGGGGAACGCTGAAGATGATCCAGCCGTCCACAGCCGGGTCTCTCGTGGGCAGAGAGAACAAGGTATGTGTTGCGGGGCTAGAGCCTGTGAATGAAAACCATTTGCAAGATTTCCTTGGTTGGAAATACCCAAATCTCCCTGGCTGGTGTGGCTCAGTGGATAGAGTGTCGGCCTGCAGACTCAAGGGTCCCAGGTTCGATTCCAGTCAAGGGCATGTACCTTGGTCGTGGGCACATCCCCAGTGGGGGGTGTGCAGGAGGCGGCTGATTGATGTTTCTCTCATTGATGTTTCTGGCTCTCTCTCCCTTTACCTTCCTCTCTGTAAAAAAAAAAAAAAAAATCAATAAAATGCATTAAAAAGAAAAAAAAATACCCAAATCATTGAAATTTGGCAATAACTTAAGAATAACAATTGTGTACTCCCCACACAAGTGGTTTTGTTTTAATTGCTCAATTGAGGATTGATGGGTGTATTTCCACGGCAGCTGGTGAAAGGCTTGTCCAAACGGAAACATCGCAATGACCAGTCGGCGTGTAAGACTTCCGGCTCCGGAGGTCCTGCTGTCCCCGGGCGCGGGGAGGGCAAGGAGCCTGGCGGAGCTGCCCAGGAGGCACTGGATCTCATGGTTGCAGGTATGAGGGGCGTGGTGGGAGCCTTGTCTGGGAAGTGCATTGTCCCACAGGTCAGTTACCTCCTGCTGTCCGGACTCCGCCCACAGCGTCTGGGGCTGGGTGCACCATTAGTTCCCTGTGATGCTCTGACGCTGCTGTTCCTTCTGGTTGTGAGCGTACAAGCACCACATGTGGGCAAGTCTCCCTGTTTTGTAAGATCCAGATATGGATGCAGTATTAAAGGGAAGGATGGTGATTAACATGGCAACTTGAATATGGGATTGCCAAGGCTTAGAAGTAGTCTTTTCAGGAAAAGGGGTCTAGAGACTGAGTTTGAAGACAGGAAGGGGTGCGCTGGGAGGACATGAAGTAGGGACGGAGCCCGCAGGCGCCAGGCGGAAGTCCAGGGAGTGCTGACGGGAGGTCCGATGGAACGGCCGGCGGCACCGGGAGAGGAAGCTGGCGGTGGCTTTAGGCATCAGGGAAGACATTGGTGTCGGTATTGCTGGGAGATTGGAGCTTAGGGAGATTCATTGACTTGCTCAAGGTCATGGAGTCCATGGGGCTCACTCTGAGCTGCGAGGGCAGCGAGGAGGAGGTGGCAGGCAGCAGGGCTTCGCGGGCCAAGCAGGGCAGGCTCGCTGCGGGACAGCAGCTCTGCGCGGGCGGGGTGAACCGCAGGGCTGGTGGCACACGTCTGATTGGTTAAGATTTGGGGGCAAAACCCTCCAGTCACATACAGAAAGGGCTGTATCAGATTGCTGCTCGCCACAGACCCTCAGTGGGGTGTGTCAGAACCCCTAAAATATCGGGGAATGGAATAGAACAAAGGTGACTTGGTTTTCTAACTTCAGGGTTACGAAAACAGGCATTGCCAGGTAGTGTGGGTGGTACTAAGATTGTAAGTTGCTTTTCAGGGAGGTAAGAGGATGATGGGTTTCACAGCAGCGTGTCACGGGAGTGGCTTCAGAGTGTCCTGTAAAACTTTGCTTTTAGAAAACCCGTCCTCTCAGTACTGGAAGGAAGTGGCAGAGCAGCGGCGGAAGGCGCTTTATGAAGCGCTGAAGGAAAACGAGAAGGTGAGCACCGAGGAGAACTGGTGCCTTTTACCTTTTAACACCACTTTGTGGGCGCCAGCCACGGCCCCTCTGCTGGGGCTGCAGACGTGCCAGTCACACGGGGGTGGGGGCGCCTTTGGGACGGCGGGGGGCGGGAACACAGCTGACCCCCGCTGCAGCTCCACAGGGAGGTCGAGCAGAAGACGAGTGAGATCGCCCGCCTGCGGAGGGAGAACCAGGAGCTGGCGGAGGTGGCGCAGCACGTGCAGCACATGGCGGAGGTCCTGGAGGTGAGTGTCCGCCGGCCGGCCGGGCCGAGGACCCCTTCACAGCCGCACGTTCTAGGCCCTTTACCTTTAAGGCGTGCGCCCTGTGACCTTCCTGTGCTCATGCGCTGCTCTCTGGTGCACGGGGAGTGTGGGGCTCCTCTGGCGTTCTTTAAGATCAGGGGGTAGCCTGTTGTCAGAATTCGCCTCGTGACGGCTCCGTTACCAGACTGAGCCTAAACGTCAGTCAACACCTGCTGATGCTTACAAAGAGTCATCTTGCTGGTGGGATGCAAGATTTCCAAATTAAACCTTTTTTGTCCTGACTTGCTTGCATGTTGGGGCCGTGACAGACTTGAACGTCTGAGGTTCTCACCTGGCAGTGCTGTCACTGCCGCCTTGGCTGCGGGGTGCTGTCCATGGCAGGATGTTGTCCACAGCGGGGTACTGTCCACAGCGGCTGGCCTCCCCGCCTTAGAGGAGGGCTCATTCATTCGAAGAGGTCATGCCTCCAGGAGCAGGCCAGCCAGCCACGTGCCTGCTGCATGTGCTCCCGCGTGGTGGAGACTGACCGGCCTGGTTGTGAGTGGATTTAACTGAGACGGTGCAGTGACGAGGGTCACGTACCGCATTGGGAACGTGGGTTTTAAAGTTTTATAACAAACACGTGGTTTATTCTTCACAAGCGACTGGAAGGAAACGCTCTGGAGAACTTTGAATCGCCGGAGAGCAGCGAGGAGTTTGATTCTGAAGAGGAGGCAGGCGAGGATCTGGAGGCGGAAGGCCCTGGCGCGGGCGTGGGTGCCAAGGCAGCCACGTCTTCCTCCACGGACGCCCAGCCCGGCGTGTGAGCTGCCCAGGGACTCAGAAGACCTGCCCCCGTTCCCGCCACGACAGTTCTTGGTGGCAGAGCGAGTAGCTATGCGATAGCAGACTGGAAGCAGTTGTCCTTGTTTGGCCCTGGGCTCCTATCGCATTAACATACAAATACTGTGTGTTTTAACCTGTGGTATTTTATGTAAATAATGTTTTCTCAGATGTCAGACTTGTGTACATGATAAATAAACTTGTTTCCTAGTCTAAGGAGTGAAGTTTTCTTTCTAGCCTCTGTTGTTTTGGAGGAAACAGGAGGAAATGAATTTGTCCCCTTCGGACAGAAATGTTGAGCTTTGACCACCAAGCTGGTTGCATCCCCTGCTCTCAGGGTCCGGACTATACTGATTTCCAGCCCCACGACCCCACTCTTCCTGAGGGGTGTGGTAAAGAGCACGAGAGGTGGTGTCAGGAGCTGTCCTGCGTGGGGCCCGCCATGGGGGGTGGGGGCCAGGTGCACGCCCAGTGACGAGATGCAGGAATAGCTAAGGGCCCTGAAATGACTCACTTCCCATTAGACACAGAACAGAGCGTAGGTCTGCGGCTGGTCGGCGTGACTCCGGTTGAACGTCCACCTGTGAACCAGGAGCTCACAGCTGGGTTCCGGGTCAGGGCATGTACCTGGGTTGCAGGCTCGATCCCCAGGGTGGGGTGTGCAGGAGGCAGCTGATCCATGTTTCTCATGAATGTTTCCATCTCCCTCCACTTCTCTCCCTCTAAAAAAGTCAATAAAAACATTTTTTAAAAACCATACAAATATGGAAGTAGGACCAGGCCGAAATTAATTAGGAGCTTCCCATAAGTCCGTTGTGCAGGAGGACAAGGACAGGGGCGCATTGTGGAGTGCAGGGCCCAGGACAGCCTGTGCTCCGAGAGCACTCGGCCTCTGTACGTTGGCAGCAGGGAGCACTCACGCATCGAAGGGTTGCTTCAGGCAAGTTCTTGGTCACCGGGAAACACTGCGTTGATCCAGAGTTTGGAAAACTCCAGATGATGAATCTAATTTTTGTGTGTTTTTTTTGTTTGTTTTTTCACAGAGAGGAAGAGAGGGGGATAGAGAGAAACATCGATGAAAGAGAATCATCGATCAGCTGCCTCTTGCACACCCCCTACTGGGGATGTGCCTGCAACCAAGGTACATGCCCTTGACTGGAATCGAACCCGGGACCTTTCAGTCCGCAGGCTGATGCTCTATCCAAACCGGTGCCGGCAACATGAATCTAATTTTCAATGAGCTACCAATGTCGCAACCATGCCGTCTGATGTGCAAGAAGCTGGAGTTCTGGCAGCCAGAGAACCCCCCGGCCCAGGATAGGGCAGCTGGAGGCTGGCACACGGTGGGCGTGGCTCTTCTGGGCCCCCGGCTCACTACCCGATACCCGATATCTCCCACCAGTGCCCCCCGCATCCTCCCAGAAATCCCCATCGGATCACCTCCACCGGCAGGCGGCCATCTTAAATCTATTCTTACTGATTTCAGAGGAGGAGAGAGAGAGAGAAACATCCACGATGAGAGAGGTTCATGGATCGGCTGCCTCCTGCACACTCCACACGGGATCGAGCCCACACCCGGCATGTGGCCTGACCGGGAATTGAACCCCAGGACCCCTCCGCTGGCAGGCTGGCACTCTATCCGCCGAGTTTCCAACTACCTGACAAAAGACGCAGGGGAGGAGCATGGGTTGGGTCCTTTATTTCTGCGCCCGGACCGGCGGTGGCGGCGGTGGCGTCAGTGCCGGTGGAAGCCGATGAGGAAGTACAGCACCTCGGCGAAGTTCTCGGGCCAGCCCTCCCAGTTCTCCCGCGCCAGCGCCTGCAGGTGGTGCTTGAGGGGGTAGTACTCCCGCAGCTCCTCCACGTAGGACACGTTGTTGCAGGTCATGACGGACAGGGTGTAGCACGCCCAGAACTTCACCAGGAGGCCGCCGCTGGCACTCCCGCCGGCCGCCGGCTCGGGGTCGGGTTTGAGCATCGCCGTGAGGATGGGGACGAGCTTCAGGAACTTGGCCCTCTTCTGGGTGATGGGGTTCAGGTAGCACCAGCAGGCCACGCTCTGGAGCAGCAGGACCCTCGCCTTGGGGGCCGCCTGGGCGTCCTGCAGCAGGAGCGCCACCTCCTTCATGTGCTCAGCCGCAAACCGCCCGGCCACGGGGCCTCCTGGAAGGCAAGCGCGGGTTTCCGGGAGCGCTCGGCCGGCCCGGCGGCCGGGGACGGGTGGCTCAGCGGTGCCCATTCTTGTTGCCGCCCACGGACGCCCGGGGTCTGGGGAACACGTGGGCACGGGGACCTGGCCCCTGGGACGTCCCTGCCTGCCGAGGGCCCCATCACCAGGCACCCGGGAGGCCTGGGTTCATGGACACCTCCTCCCTCGTGGTCTCATTCCTGCTCCTCCGAGTGAAAAAACACCAGAGCGTTTGCCCCAGCCGGTCTGGCTCAGCGGAAAGAGTGTGGACCTGGGCACTGAAGGGTCCCGGGTTCGACTCCAGTCAGGGGCATGTACCTAGGCTGCGGGCTTGATTCCCAGCCCCGGTTGGGGCATGTGCGAAGGCAACCCGTCTGTGTTTCTCTCTGTTCTCTCCCTTCCGCTCTCTCTAGAAACCAAAGGGAAAATATCCTCCGTGAGGATTAAAACAGGAAACTACCAGAGCGTTAGAGCAGCGAAGAAAACGGAGAGGAGAACCCCAGAAGTCAGCTGCACAGCCGGGCCTGGTGGGTGGAGAGGTGTCTCACCAGCTCGCCGCTCGCCGCTCTGCCTTCTCTCCCCTTCCAGCCCGGCTCTTGCAGGCCTGGGACCAGCGAGGCCCTCCAAGCTTGTCCTGGCGCTGCCCCCTGACCCCACCTGGTCCTGCACGTGACTTTGATCCTCCTCCGGACCCGCAGGTCTCCCTTGTTCCGATCTCACATGCCCGGAAGAGAGAAGCCGGAAGGCGCCGGTGGAGCCTGTTAGAGGTGAGGAGCGAGCAGCAGCCTCCTCCCTGGCGGGTTCCGGCCCTGGAGTTCCCACCCGGCTTGCATTTCTTACATCCCAAGAATGCTGTCGTCAATGTTCAAGTTTCAGCTGAGCCCGGCCGGCGTGGCTGAGTGGCTGAGCGGCGACCTGTGAACCAGGAGGTCGGGGTTCGATCCCTGGTCAGGGCACAGGCCCGGGTTGCGGGCTCCATCCCCAGAGTGGGGTGTGCAGGAGGCAGCCGATCCATGATTCTCTCTCATCATGGATGTTTCTCTCTCCCTCTCTCTTCCTCTCTGAAATAAGTAAAAATGTATATTTTTAAAAAGAATCCTTTGTACCGAATACGTTAACCACCACAAAAACCAGATCCCTAGGAGAAAGTAATCAGTAATGTCTTTTGGGGTACAAAGACAGAAAACTAATAACTTAGGCAAAGGAAGAGCTGCTGGGATTTTAAGACAGGCATCCTGAAGACGCCAACGTAATGTGGTAGCCAGAAAGGGGTTTGGAGCAGGGGTGGCCAGCCCCCCAGGCAGGGTCGCACCTGTGAAGGCCAGCAGTCCCAGCTGGTGGGCGGCCTGAGCCCTCTCCTCGATGGTCAATAACTTGTTCTTCAACGTCTCGCCAAGGACCCTGATCTTCTCTTTGTGAAAAATATTCTTCCCTGGCGGGATCTGCTCCTCCTCCTGCTTTCCGAAAAAGCCCAGGACGTGGACGTTCCAGAACCGCCGGAGGCACTGGCCCAGCCACACCACACACCGGTACACAGAACGGTCGTACTGCACAGAGAACATCCCGACGGGGCTGGCCATGGCGGACAGGTGGGCACTCCTGCCCACCGCGTGCTGGCAGCCACAATAGTCCAGAACTCTGGAACGCATCACCTAGCAACCGTCTCCCGGGCTGGGGAGCAGAGGGTGCTGCCTGGGGTTTGGGCTGAGAATGCTGATGAAGGATGATGCTTCTTACCCTCCAGGAGCTCAGAGTCTGTCTTTCTCCAAGGAGCTTCATAAAATACGTGAGGAGTGCCCGGCCAGCGTGGCTCCGTGGCTGCACGTCGGTCTATGAACCAGGAGGGCACAATTCCATTCCCGGTCAGGGCACAGGCCTGGGTTTGCAGGCTCAATCCCCAGTGGGGGGCGTGCAGGAGGCAGCCAGTCCATGATTCTCTCTCAACATTGATGTTTCTAACTCTCACTCCCTCTCCCTTCCTCTCTAAAATCAATAAAAATATATTTAAGAGAAAATATCCGAGAAGCAAATGTTCACTTATCCCTATTTATGGACGAAGGAATGTCAAGATCAGAACAAATTTCAGTAGAGAACAAAGTGTCACGTGTGTGTACTAACTCATGAGGGCATGTGAAAAAATACAGCGGACTCTGTGCCCGAGACCAGAGATTCAAAAATAATTTTTATTTGAACGTCCAGGATGGGAACAGTGACGGATACAAATGCCACAGAACAACGCACCCCCTCAACCAAAACAAAATGCAGGAGTGAATACAAAAGACCCGGAGTCCGTTGCTCATGCAATATTCAAATTTTTTTTTAGAAAACACACACCAAAACCAACAAACACTTGGTAACTTTTGTGATTTGAGCTTTGAGTTTTCTATAAAAAAAAAATCCTCTCCACCATTTCACATGGACGGCAGCTTATACAGACTATCCAACTATAGACTGTACAAGGAACTTTTCAAAGGAAGGATATAGGCATATATATATATAATATTTATAAATATACAAATAGATATATATATACACACACTGTAACTTCACAGTCCCAAGAACTATTTGCCAGGAAACCTGGCAGACACAGTTTAACGTGAACTAAGAGCTGCTTTAAAGGTCTGCTGAAGTGTAAATATCTAGAAATGACACCTCACTGGTATCTTGGACAAACACATCCAGAGCACAGTTCACGCTACACTCACACCTATTAGATAACTTGGCATGTCCCGCCCAGAACATGCTTAGGAGGACGCCCCGTTAGGTACCGGGAGCTCCCGAGCGGGCACGGACTTTAGCGATGGGGTTTGCTCCCCTGATGGGAGCGGTGAGGGTGGCTGCTGTTCTATTTGGCCAAGGGGTCCCAGCAGGGGGCAGTCACCACCCCAAGAAGCAGCCTCCATCCTGACCTCATGGGGTTGTCACGGGAGCAAGGACCCCTTTTCAATGTCCCTCCAACTTCCGCGCCCTCGCACCTCCTGCGACGCCCCAGCTTTTCTGAATCGGGACTGGGTTTGGTCTTAGCAGCTGAGTACCTCGATTGAAAAAGATCAGTAAAAAAATGGCTCGTTTGCTCAAAAATACAAGCCTACGCGTGGCGTGCCTCTGTGTTTCAGGAGGAGGGGCGTGACCTCGTGAGGTCGTCTGCTCCCGGGCACCTCCCCGCCGCCGTGGAAACACGCCTCTGGAGCTCTCAGGAGGGGGAAGAGGAGCAGGAGGCACAGTGACACCGGGACACGGGACACGTGGAAACATCACGCCCTTACAGTGGCGTCCTGCCCGGTCCTGCAGGCAGGCAGGCTTTTACTGGAAGGAATTCCTTTTTGTGCTTTTCACTGAAGGTAACATCAGGTCGCTGGTGGGGGTTAGGGGTGGGGACCCTCCACCCTGAGAACACGACGGAGAGAACGGCGGCTGTTGGACGTTTACCAAGCCTCCCAGGGTGGCCTCAAGCTCTAGAACTTCTGGAAAAGCACAAAGATGGCTGTTGTGTGTGTGTGTGTGTGTTTAAAAAGATGGCTGTTTTTGTTTGTTTTTTAAAGATGGCTGTTTTTGCTTTTTTGTGTTATTTTTTAAAGATGGCTGTTTTGAAATTCCATCCGTGTCACCGACCACGACTGGCTCTGTTGCTTAGCGTGTCCACGGCCGGCGCCGTGGCTGGCCTGCTGCGCCGCACACAGCCCTCTCGTAGCGGCAGAGCAAGAGGCGCTGGGACGGAGCGGGGCTCTGTCTGCACCGCGGGAGGTTGCCGGCTGCACGGCGGCACCTGCGGGGCCCACGGGCCGTCTGCGAAGGCAGCTGTGGGGCCGTTAAAAGGCCGTGGCCACCTCGGTCCCGTGGCGGCCTCCCACGTGGACGCAGTCCCGGGGGAACTTGTCCAGCTGCTCGTAGGCCAGCCGCCCGTCTTCCCCTGGATGGGGCGGGAGAAACGGACCGGCGTCAGCTCAGCGCCTCCGGGAGAGGCCGCCTCTGGGGGTCGGACGCACCGGCTCCGGGTGGGGCTCTGTCTTGGGGGCTCAGGCCAGAGGCGGGACGCGGGCGGGGGGGGGCAGGGGTGCTGGGGCCCGGGGCGCCCGTGAGGGCACGAAGCAGGCTATTCCCACAATTCCCAGGGAACCATGGCGGGCGGGGCCCGGCCGCCACGGGGCGGCCCTAGACCTCGGAGCATGCGGCGCCCACACAGCTTTCACTGTCACACGTCTGTACTGGCGCCTGCATGCTCGGTCATAACGGTCACATTGAGGCTTTCAGACGCCAGCCCAAACGTCATCGTGTGAATGCGGTGAGAGTCTGCCGCCCTCCGAGGGCCGGGCTGTCAGTGGGAACGCCTGGAACAGCCGCCGGGTGTCAGTCACCGACTGCTTTGTGCCCGCTTTCCTCTTTAGACACGTGACCCCAGGTGGGGGCGTGAGGTCAGAGGACGGGCAGTGAGCGGTCCCTCCTCCTCACACGGACCACGGACCCTCAGCTGTGCTCAGCCAGGCTTCGTGTCAACAGCCCGCGGGCGACCTCAGTGGCTGAGCGGTGACCTATGACCCAGGAGCTCAGGGTTCAATTCCTGGTCAGGGCACATGCCTGGGTCTCGGGCTCGGTCCCCAGTGAGGGGTGTGCAGGAGGCAGGAGCCCGGACCCCAGCTCCTGCCACTTGGGTGTGATTTCCAGGTTCTTACCCCGAAACCCTGCCAGACCGAGGAGCCATCCAGAAGGCTCCCAGCCTCCCCTTCCGAGTGCAGGGTCAGGACGGAGCCGGGGGGACGTGGGCACCGAGGAGTCCTCATGCTGCGCGCGTGTGTGTACACATGTGTAAGTGTATGCATGTGCGTTGTGTGTACACGTGTACACACATGAACGTGTCGATTGTGTGTATGTGTGAGTATGTGTGTGTGTGAATAGTATGTGCCTGCATGTGTGTGAGTGTGAACAGGCAGCCATGGGGGGACTCGCTGCACGGTGCACAGGGAACCCCCCGGACAGCGCTGCACAGGACTCAAAAGCCGTATCCCCGCGCGCACTCACCCAGAGATAGGAGGGTCTCGGTGGCCACGTTTCTGATCTCCTCCACGTCCGACTGGCACAGGCTCACCAGCATCCTGACGCTCTCCGTGGCCTGCAGGGGGGGGGGGGGCAGCGTGAGCGGACACCTGGCCGGGGCTGCGGGACCAGCATCAGCCTGTGGGGGCCGGAGAGCCGTCCTACCCGGGCCCCCCAGCGGCGGGAGCCGGGCGCCACCCCACAGGCGGGGAGAACGCCCGGCGGAGCCAGGTCCCCAGTGGCAGGCACCCTGCTGGCTTTGTTGCATTTCCTCTGACTTCGTTGTTTACATTATTAACGGAAATCTGAGGACTGCAGCGGAGGGGGCTGGACTGGCCCTCTCGTGCCTCCCGCAGGCTGCCCCGTCCGACTGTGACTGAATCTCGGTGAGGGGCGAGAGCCGGTGAGGGGCGAGAGCCGGGAGAGCCGTCACGGGGACGGCTGGACCCACGGCACTCTGGGCCAGAGCTGTGCACAGTGGACACCACGCCCGTCAGTGGCCATCTCAGCCTCTCCGGGGCGGGGGGGGGGAGAGCAGAGACACTTCCGGGACTGACCCAGCGACAGACAGCACTGGTTTCTGGAAGGCACATCTAGTTACTGCTTCAAGGAGAGAAGAAGGACTCCAAGCAACAAGCAGGGCAAAGGAGCCCAGCCATGCCGCTAACTCGGCACTTCACACACACGTGCACGCGTGCACACACATACACACACAACACACACACACACGGCTCAGTCCTGCACCTCAGACAGACAGACAGACACACACACACACACACACACACACACACACACACGGCTCAGTCCCGCGGCCTCACCTGCAGGCTCTGCAGAGCCAGGCACGCCGCCTTCTGCAGCTGCAGGTCGCGGGCGGTCAGGGCCTCGCAGTAGTAAAGCAGGGCCTGGCGGGGGAGGGCAGTGAGCACCCGGCCGCGCTGGCTTTAGGGGCCCCAGCTACTGCCTGACAGACCACAGCTCACCCCCCGCTTTCTGCACTTCCTTCAGAGCCAACAGCCCTTTAAATTGCATGTTTGCCAAGACCAGTTTGGCTCAATGGATAGAGCATCGGCTTGGGGACTCAAAGGTCCCGGGTTCGATTCCGGCCAAGGGCATGTACCTTGGTTGTGGGCATATCCCCAGTAGGGGGTGTGCAAGAGGCAGCTAATCGATGACTCTCTCTCATCGATGTTTCTAACTCTCTATCTCTCTCCCTTCCTCTCTGTACAAAATCAATAAAATATATTTTAAAAAAATAAATAAAACGCATGTTTGCTAAAAGAGCTGTCTCTTTAAATGTCTATCTGGTGTGCGGATGCCGAGTGCGGGCCGGGGCAGGGGCGCTGGGAGGAGGAAGCTGGAAGATGCATGGCCATGAGCCCAGCTTTCGGGGGGACTCGCCCCGAGAGGTGCTCAGCAGGCACCGTGCTATTTCACAGTGCACTCACCAGAGGGCGTGCTTAGGCTTTTAGAGAGGAAGGGAGGGCGAGGGGGAGGATTTGGGAGGGACAGGGGAGAGGGGGAGGGAGAGGGAGGGAGAGAGAAGCACCAATTGGTTGCCTCCCATACATGCCCCAGCTGGGAGTCGAACCCGAAACCGCTGGGTGTATAGGATGCTGCTGCAACCAACTGAGCCACCGTCCAAGACACAAATTCTTGCCTGACCCGTGGCTCCGTGGCTGAGTGCCGCCCTAGGAACCAGGAGGTCCCGGTTTGATTCCGGGTCAGGGCAGATGCCTGGGTAGTGGGGTGTGTAGGAGAACTGATCCATGATTCGCTCTCGTCGTTGATGTCCCTAGCTCTCTCCCCCTCTCCCTTCCTCTGAAATCAGTACAGAGTATTTCTTAAAGGAGATACAAATTTCTCTCGACGGGAGGAAAACGGCACAGCAGCCACAGCAGGCGACAGGACAGGAAGCAGCCTACCTTCTCCCTGAAATGCTGGTTCCCCGCGGCCGCCTCCAGGTACAGCCGCACGGCCTGGCTGACGCCGCGGTCGGCCCCGGTGAGGAGCAGCGCCAGGGCCCGGAGCACCTCCTGCTGGGCCGGCAGGCCGCTGGGCGCCAGGCCGCTGACCGCCTGCCGCAGCTTCTCCTCCCGCAGCGACTGCAGGCTGAGCGCCATGGAGACTGGAGAGAACGCAGAGGAGGGCGCTCAGCGAGCAGCCCCCCAGCGGCGACCCCGCGTGGGGGCAGTCAGGCGGGACGGAGGGGTCTCCGCTCCCCCCCAGGGCCAGGGACCATCACTGACTCTGTTAAGGCCAGGGAGGAGCTTGGGAGGAGAGCGGGCGTGGCCTCCGGCCCATAATGGCCACGAAATTAACTGTCAGATGAACTAAACTGGCAAATAAAAAATACACAGCGAGTCTGGGCTCAGGGGTCGAGTGTTGACCTGTGAACCAGGAGGTCAGGGCACAGGCCCGGGTTGTGGGCTCCCTCTCCAGTGGGGGGGGCGTGCAGGAGGCAGCCGATCCAGGATTCTCTCAACACGGATGTTTTTCTCTCTCCCCCTCCCTTCCTCTCTGAAAGCAATCACACACAGAGAAGGTGGCGGCCAGAGGCCCCTCCGTGTCCCTCCGTGTCCCAGGCCCGGGAGCGCCCACCTTGCCCCGCCAGCTGCCGCACGTGGCCCTCCAGGCCGCCGGCCACGGGGCCCGAGAAGTAGCCGTGAAACTGGAAGACGGTGACCACCTCGGAGGCCAGGCTGGGGGGCAGCAGGGGCTCCGGCCGGTCCAGCATCTGGGCCACCAGCGTCCGGAACACTGGGGAAGAGAAGACACGGGCAGCCGTTCAGGGCACGGCCACGCACTCCTCCCGTTCCCCCGTCTCTCCCCGGAGAGGACGGGGCGCGGCCACCCGGGGACTAAGCCAGGCGCAGCGGGGACTGTGCCGTCCACACACCCGCCTGCGGGCCGTTCAGGTCAGGGCACAGGTCCCGCTGTGCGTCCGGCCACCCTGCACGTTAGCGCAGCCTGCACCCCAGCGCAGCCTGCACCCCAAGTTCACGGCCACGGATGACACGGGGAGCTGGTAGGGAGCGGACTCCTTTCCTCATCAAAAGAGCCGAGATTCACCCGAAACGGAGCCTGTACCCCAACTCCGTCTTCTTAACCTGGCCTCCCAGCCCCGAGGGAGTGGAGAGATGACGGCACCCGTCATGAAGCAGGCCCTCCCTCCGCTGTGAGCACAAGCTTCTCCCCTCCCTCCGCAGCGGGTGCCGGCTCCCGGGGCAGGGTCTCCTGAGCCCGGTACAAACCGCCCCGTCCCCCAGGGGTCGCCCCGCCCGCCCACCTCAGGGTGGGGAGGCGCCCGCCCAGCGACGGGAAGGCGGGCTCTCCCAGGTGCCCGGCTGAGCCCAGGCCGCGTGCCCACCTGGGTCTGCCAGGCCCGGGTAGTCCGCCTCGATGGCGCCGGCGAAGCTGGCCTCCAGCTGCTGGACCAGCCGGTCGGCCGAGCTGTGGTACACGCCCGCGGGGCCACAGCACTCCGTCCAGAGGGACAGCAGGGCCGGCTGCTGGCGGAGCTCGGGGACGGCTGGAAGGAAGGACGGATGGACGGACGGACGCCCGTGAGGCCAGCCAGCGGGAGAAGGGGGGAGGGTCGAAGGGGGGAGGGGCAGAGGGGGGAGGGGCAAGGGGGAAGGAGCGGAGGGGGGAGGGTTGGAGGTGGGCAGAGCGGGGAGAGGCGGAGGGTGCAGAGAAGGAGGGATGGAGGGGGAGGAATGGAGGGGGAGGGGCGGAGGGGGGAAGGGCGGAGGGGGGAGGGGCGGAGGGGGGAGGGTTGGAGGTGGGCAGAGGGGGGAGAGGCGGAGGGTGCAGAGAAGGAGGGATGGAGGGGGAGGAATGGAGGGGGAGGGGCGGAGGGGGGGCGGAGGGGGGAGGGCGGAGGGGTGGAGGGGGGATGGGTGGAGGGGGAGGGGTGGAAGGGGAGGGGTAAGGGAGGGGCGGAGGGGGGAGGGTTGGAGGTGGGCAGAGGGGGGAGGGGCGGAGGAGGAGGGGCAGGGGCGGAGGGGCAGAGGGAGGAGGGTCGGAGGGGGGAGAGGCGGAGGGGGAGGGGTGGAGGGCGCAGAGGAGGAGGGGCGGAGGGGTCAGCGTGGCCTCCCGGCAGGCCTCACCGTCCAGGACGGAGCCGATGCTCCCCAGGTGCTCGTCACTGAGGGCGGCGAGCCTCTCCAGGACGCGGATTTGCCGGGAAAGCCTCTCCAGGAGGCTCCTCGCCACGAAGGGGGTTTTGCTGGAGAGGACAATTTGCTGGGGAGGAAGCAGAGGGCTGGCTCAGGCGTGCGGTCCTCGCCCTCCCCACCGCTTCCTGTGCCCGCGGGCGGGGGACCCCGTGCCTCTCCCCGGCCACGCCGCTCCGGGGCTGCCGGCCGGAACCACGGCTCCTGCGGCTTTTCGAGTGGCCCGCGCCACGTACATTCCGGAACTCTCCCCGCCAGTGAGCCCTCTCCCCGCGGAGGGCGGTCCAGGCTGCACGTGGGCGTGCACGCCCCATTTTCCGAGCCTGGGTCTGCTGCCTTGTTTCAGCAGCGTGGTGTCTAACAGCCATAACTACAACCAACGATCTCGGCCGGCCGGCGTGGCGCCGTGGCTGAGCATCGGCCCGTGACCCAGGAGGTCAGGGTTCAATTCCCGTCAGGGCCCAGGCCCGGGTGCTGGGCTCCATCCCCGGTGCGGGGCGCGCAGAGGCAGCCGGTCAGCGGCTGTCTCTCATTGTGGATGTCTCTCTCTCCCGCTCCCTTCCTCTCTGACATCAGTAAAAACACGTTAAAAGAGAAGGGCACGCTGTCCTGGTGCCCGAGTCCGGGCCCGGCGCGGAGCCGCCCGCCGTACCTGCACCAGCCGGGTGCACTGCTGCAGGTGCCGGACGATGGCGATGTCCAGGCTCTCGCTGCCCGTGGTCAGGGGGAGGGGGCTGCCCGCCACGCTGGTGCCCACGCCCGTGTCCTCCGTCAGCGCCTCGCTGAGGTGCGCCCTGGCCTCGGGGTGCGCTGGCCTGTACCTGTGGAATGAAGCAGGAAGGTGAGCGGCTGGCGAGCCGTTTCTTTCCGTGTGGAAAGCACGGGTCCACTCGGCGTGGCTTCCCGGCGTGGCTCCCCTCAGGCCCCCCGGAGAGACACACGGATGTGAGAGAAACACGTCGATGGGTTGCCTCCTGCACGGCCCCAACCAGGGCACGGGAGGAGCCTGCCGCCGAGGGACGTGAATCAAACCCGGGACCCTTTGGTCTACAGGTGGATGCTCTATCCACTGAGCAACCCAGCCAGGGCTCGAGCTACCTTACAAACACGACGTCTCAAGCCTGCCTGTCTGTCGCCAACGTGTCTGGTGTAAAAAGGTCAGGCAGAACAACGGCTTCCCGGGCTCTGGGCGCCAAGAACCACTCGCCGCCACCTCACCGCGTCTCAGAGACCTGCCCAGGGTCCCCGCTTAGACCGTCTTTGTGTTTGCAACGTCCCGGGAGCAGAACTGCTCAGAAGGCACCTGCGCGGCCGCTTCCTAACCTCCCGTCCGCCCCACCGGGAGGAAAGGAGGAAGGAGCGCTGCCTGGAAGGGACACCACTTCCACTCGGGACAAAAGCTAAGGGGCCTGGGTCCCTCGGCCGGCGCCGCCTCCTCCTGCCTCACAGGCTTTGTGTACGCCCCACGGCTCAGTGGGGAGCGTCCACCTATAAGCCAGGAGGTCACAGTTCGATTCCCGGTCAAGGGCATGTGCCCGGGTTGCAGGCTTGATCCCCAGGGGGGATTTGCAGGAGGCAGCCGATCCAGGATTCTCTCCCATCACTGGTGTTCCCATCTCTCTCCCCCACTCCCTTCCTCCCTGAAATCAATAAAAACATATTTAAAATAAAAAGAAAAAACCCACAGCAGCGCTGCCCACGGTGACATGGTGGTGGGCACTCCCGTGGGAAACAAAGTCTGTTGCGTCTACTTTGTTCCAGAAGGAGCCTGGGTGCGGGGGGCACAAGGACCGGCAGAGCCGACCACCGGGGTCCCGGGTTCGCACCCCTGGCAGCTGCCGGCCTCCCGGCTGGGCTCTCCATCCTCACGGTTTACAGAGATGGGGCACCAGAGCGCACAGGCAGGCGTTGGGCTGCTGCACTGGGCACGTTGCCTCGAAGGACAAAGCACTCGGCTGGGCCCTGGGTGCCCGTGGGCCCGGCTGACACCTGCTGTGCTGCTGCTCCGAGGAGCTGACTCCGGCCAGGACCCCCCCCCCCGCCCCCCGCCTCCTGGGGCCGCAGGGGGCGGCGGAGGAGGGAGGGGACGCCAGGCCCAGCACGGCGAGGGGGGAGAGGCACCTGGCGGTGGCGAGGCTCACCCGTTCTTCTCCGTCTCCGTGTCGGAAAACACCGAGTCGGCACCGCCCACGCGGCCCCCCTCGTCCCCGTCCTCCTCCTCCTCCTCGTCGAAGTCGGAGGTGTTCAGGAAGTCGAAGCTCTCCAGGGCACTCTCCACCGTCAGGCTCAGGCTGGAGGGCGTGCTGCGGCTCCCGGGCGGCTTGCACTGCAAGGCAGGGGCACCGCACATCAGAGTCCCCGCGCCCCCCGACGGGGGGGGGGGGAGGGGGGAGGGGAGAGGGGGACACCGTCGGCGTCCCTGCGGCGATGGGACCCAGCGCCCGCTCTCACCCACAGGAACAGGTGACACTGTGTTTGTTGGAAGCTTCTGTTTTATTGTACTTTATTGGCATTAGGAAAACAAAACGCATTTAACATATTCGTATAAAAAAAGAGCAATGGTGAATAAAATGGCACAGTCTCTGGGATCTGCCCCAAAGGAATGCAGAGGGAAGCAAGCAGCTCAAAGACGAGACGAGGACATTGGCCAGGAGAGGAGCATGAGGAAGCTGGCAGGGGTGGGGGTGGGGGGGTTTGAGGATCCGTTATCTATTTGCTCTACTTTTGTTGGAAAATTTTATAATAAAAAGTTCCAAAACATCCCGGTGTTGCCTGTGGACGGAAGGGTCCCGGGTTCGATTCTGGTCAAGGGCACATCCCCAGTGGGAGGTGTGCAGGAGGCAGCTGGTTGATGTCTCTCTCTCATGGATGTTTCTAACTCTCTATCCCTCCCCCTTCCTCTCTGTAAAAAAAAAAAAATCAATAAAATTAAAAAAAAAGTTCAAAACATCCTGGTGTGGCTCACTGGCTGAGCGTTGACCTATGAGCCAGCAGGTCATGGTTCAATTCCTGGTTAGGACATATGCCCGGGTTTCAAGCTTGATCCCCAGTGTGTGGCGTGCAGGAGGCAGCCAATCAATGATTCTCCCTCATCATTGATGTTTCTATCTCTCTCTCCCTCCCTCTCTCTGAAATAAGTAAAAAAATATTTTAAAAGAAAGTTAAAAAAAAAACACATTTATTACAACCTACATGTGGTTGGCATCTGCAGAACTCGAGAATCAGAGCTGCCATGTTCCTCTGCCTGGGGCTCAACCCCAAGTAAAACACAACCCAGGAGACAGGGAGGGACAGGAGCAGCCTCTAACTCCACGAGGTCTCATCTTCCCAAGATGCGAGCTGCTGGCGAGGCCCCTGCTCTGAGGGATGAGCAGGACAGCCCCCAGAAACAGAGGGAGGCGCCCTTCACTAGCCCACGCATCCTGGGTAAGTGGCCTTAAAAGCTCATCCACATTCCCAGCACATCCTTTTCCTTTGCTTTGAGGAGACATGAATGGTGGGCACAACGAGAGGCAGTGGCTCTGGACAGACTCGCAGACATCACACACAGAATAACGCCCATTGCTACAGGCATGGAGGTGGAGAGAGGTACTTCCCAATAGTCAAGGGTTCGCTGGGGTGGGTGGAACGGGGCAAGTCCTGCAAGGTGGCAGAACTAAGGTCCTCCATGCTGACTTCGGGACACAGGCGGGAAGGGCCTGGCGGGGGCTGTCCCTACGCCCGGGAGGCCACCCAGCACAGGTGCTCATGCATCAGAGCTGCTCAGTCGCCCTCAGGATCTCCGTCCGAGGGGAGGCATCATTTAGTCTCTCATCCTCAAGGTGCTATGCATCCTGGGAACGTGAAGGGAAAGAGAGAGAGCCATATCCAGCCGCTGCCGAACACCGGCCAGCGGGCACAAAGCCCTCGCCCTAGCCCTCACCTCCGCGGCCCTGTCCGGCCTCTGGGCCACAACTTCCTGGTTCTCCTGTGCTATGGTTGGCATCTGCAGAACTCGATCGTGTACAATATGAGTGTGTTTACTTATTATTATTTTTTAAATTAACTTTTTTTTTTTTTAATCCTCACCCAAGGATATTTTCCCATTGATTTTCAGAAAGAGTGGAAGAGAGAGGGAAAGACAGAGAGAAATGTCAATGTGAGAGAAGTGCATCGATGGGTTGCCTCCTGCATAAGCCCGACCAGGGCCTGGGCCAGGGAGGAGCCTGCAACCAAGGTACGTTGCCCTTGACTGGAATCGAACCCGGGACCCTTCAGTCTGCAGGTCTATCCACTGAGCCACACTGGCTAGGGCAGCATCATTGATGTTTCTATCTCTAGTTCTCTCTTCCTTCCTTTCCGAAATCAACTATATATATATATATATATATATATATATATATATATATATATATATTTTTTTTTTTTTTTTTAAATGAAGAGCCCTGACTGGTTTGGCTCAGTGGATAGTGTCGGCCTGCGGACTGAAGGGTCCCGGGTTCGATTCCGGTCAAGGGCATGTGCCTTGGTTGCAGGCACATCCCCAGCAGAGGGTGTGCAGGAGGCAGCTGGTCGATGTGTTCTCATTGGTGTTTCTGAGTCTCTAACCCTTTCCTTTCCTCTCTGTAAAAGTCAATAAAATATATTAAAAAAAATAATAAAATAAAATGAGCCATTGTGTCCAGGTGTGCGACGGAACAGGATGGAGGGGGAAGACACGCTGCTGTCGACGGGACAGGAGCCGCTCGGGCTGCCTCCCTCGCCCCCGCCCCCGCCCCCGCCCCCGGGGCCCCGCACAGGCTCTTACTTTGAGGACATCGTCCAGGTGCATGACCTCCTGGCTCAGCTGCCGGAACTCCTGGTACTGATCTTTGTGAGGCTCCAGCGCCAGGAACAGCCCGTGGAAGGCGTCCTCCAGGCTCCCGTCCAGGAAGGCCCGGGCGCCGTCCGGCTCCCCGCCGCCCGCCGGCCCCTCGGATGGCAGCCTGTCCGCGGTGGCAGCGGCGGCGGCCGGCGCCTCGGCCGAGGTCAGCCGCTGCACCAGCTGCTTCGTGACGTTGCCCTCGAAGGCGTCCAGCTCCACTGGCTTCAGCTCCGAGGCCTCGTCCGACTCGCCCAGGAGCGCCTCCGCCACGGCCCTCTCCAGGAAGAGGCGCCCGGCCGCGGGCCCCGGGGGCGCCGGGCGGGCCTGGGCGCCGGGGGGCCCCTCCGCGTCCTCCTCGGGGGACGGCGTGGGCCCCGGGCCGCCCGCCGAGGAGCCTCGGGAGGACAGGGAGCCCGAGTCCTCGGCGCTCGGACGCCGGTGCAGCTCGGCGGGGGTGACGGTGATCTCGGGGCGGGCCGGGCACGGGGTGGCGAGGGAGCCGGCGGCCGGGCCGGCGGGGAGGGCGCAGTCCCCGTTGGGCAGGTCCTCGAAGCTGAGGGACAGCGGCCTCTTCTGCTCGGCCGCCTTGTCGTTCTCGAAGGTGTCGTCCGGGAGGTTCGACTGCGGGAGGGAGGCGTCCGTTAGCGTTTTAAACTTCCCTTCGGGTCGTTGTCAAACACAGACGGGGTGTGTGGTGGGGCTGACTTCCGGATAAGCTGTGACTCCATTAGAAAAGGGAGCCAGCCCCGCTGGGGTGGCCCAGGGGTTGAGCGTCGACCTGAGAACCAGGAGGTCATGGCCAGATTCCAGGTCAGGACGTTGCAGGCTCGGTCCCCAGTGTCGGGGGTCATGCAGGAGGCAGCTGATCCACGATTCTCTCTCTCTCATCAGTGATGTTTCCCTCTCTTCCTCTCCCTTCCTCTCTGAAACCAATAAAACTAAAAAAAAAAAAATGAAATAATAAAACCCAGATCTCACATCACAGGAGCATGTTGGTTGTTGGTTTTGCTGCAGCAAACCCGCCTCTAAGAACCTCCCTTTCCGTGTGGGGGACGTGGGCGTCGATGGGAGATGCTCGGCTTTCTCTTTTTCCCAGGGAAAGGCTGGGGGCTGGGCCAGGAGCTTGTTCCTGGATCCCGGACCTCACGCTGTTTGCAGCCACACGTGGGGCGTGCAGCACCAATTAAAAAACCCTTTTTGGCAGAAGCCGGTTTGGCTCAATGGATAGAGCAATCCCCTGCGGACTGAAAGGTCCCGGGTTCCATTCCGGTCAAGAGCATGTACCTTGGTTGCGGGCACATCCCCAGTAGGGGGTGTGCAAGAGGCAGCTGATCGATGATTCTCTCTCATCGATGTTTCTGTAAAAAATCCTCTCTGTAAAAAATCAATAAAATATATTTAAAAACTTTTTAAAAAACCCTTTTTGTACCCCAGCCTGTGAGAATGCACATTAACTACTGTGAGGAGCGGAGCCCACTGGGAAATCCGGGAAATGTGAACATGAGAACATCTGTGACACTTGCACGCCCCCTACTGGGGATCGGACCCGACACCTGGGCCTGTACCCTGACCGGGATTCAAACCGTGACCTCCTGGTTCCTAGGTCAGCGCTCACCCATTGAGCCACGCGGGCCGGCTCTGTCCTGCTCTGATTAAGTGGGCACAAACACCACAGGAAGCTAAGACCCGAGAACTAAGACCTCTTTAAAGGAGACAGCTCTCGTCACGTGGGTTTAAGTCCGAGTTCCTCCCGGGCAGCTGTTCCTTGTGAGCCCGGAGCATAAGGACTCCTGTACTCACTTGGCTTCAGGCCTTCAGGCCTTAGTGTCCCTGTCTCGTTTTAAAGGGAAAGCCTGTAACTGTTACCGCGGGTCTCCGCGGAGCAGCGAGAAAAACCACAGCACGGAATGGGGGGGTCCTTAGACGAGAAAGACAGACGCCTCTCCCACCAGTTGCATGCGGGACGGAGTCCCCGGCCGGCCGGGGAGCAGACAGAGGAGGACACGCAGGAGACACGGCAAGCACGCAGCCCCCGCCCCCAGGGCCACGGCGCGCGGCCGGGCCGGCACTCACATAGGACTCTAGCACGGCCGTGGGCCTCAGCCTGAGGGAGGGCAGGTCGCACACGGAGCGGCTGCGGTGCAGCTTGGCCAGCAGCGTGTCCTGCAAGGCGCTCAGGGCGGACAGCCGCCGCGGCTTGTCCGGGGAGGGCTGCAGCCACCGCTTCCGGAGCGAGAGCGGGGGACAGGGAGAGCAGGGGACAGTTAGGCTTAGCGTCTCAGCAAGCGCTTCAGGTTAGGACACACATGGCTGCACAGTGCTGGCGCGGCGCGGCGCGGCGGACAGAGCGACGGCCTGCGGACCGAGGGGTCCCGGCTTCGATTCCCGTCGAGGGCATGTATCTCGGTTGCGGGCTCCTCCCCAGCCCCAGCCCTGGTCCGGGCGCTTGCGGGAGGCAACCAATCGAAGTGTCTCTCTGTCTCTCCGTCTCTCTCCCACTCTCGCTAGAAATCAAGGGAAGAATATCCTCCGGCCGAAACCGGTTTGGATAGAGCGTCGGCCTGCGGACTGAAAGGTCCCGGGTTCGATTCCGGTCAAGGGCATGTACCTTGGTTGCAGGCACATCCCCAGTGGAATTGTGCAAGAGGCAGCTGATCGATGTTTCTCTCTCATCGATGTTTCTAACTCTCTATCCTTCTCCCTTCCTCTCTGTAAAAAATCAATAAAATATATTAAAACAAACAAACAAACAAACAAAAAAATATCCTCGCGTGAGGACTAACGGAACAACGAAGAATGCTGCGAAGGTTTGGGAGGAATCCGTGTTATTACCGGAGCGGTGGGGAGCGCAGGGGAGGGGCCGGAGGGCAGAGGGGCCCCTCCTGTGCGCCCGGCAGAGGCGGCTGGGGTGTCGCCGGGGGAGTGGGGGATGAGCTTCAGAACCGCTTCGCAGGGTGTCGGACGAGGCCAGCGCGGCCTCGGGCTCCTGTCCCCGCCCCAGCCGCCACCCCAGAACCCCCGGGGCTTACGAAGAAGGCGTGCTCTCTGAAGGGCGGCGTCTCGGGGGTGCCCTGGCTGTACACCGACATCCTCCGCTGCAGGGCGGCCGCCTTGCTCCCCGTGCCGGCCGACGGGGTCACGTCCTCCACGTCAAAGGGGCTGGAGAGCAGCAGGTCCCAGAGGGCAAGCGGTCAAGGCTCCTGCGTGACCGACCGACCGACCGACCGGCCGACCGGCCGACCGCAGGCCCAGAAGCACCTGATTTCACTCAAGGGAATTCTCACCAGTGGGATTCTAATCCGCCCGCACACCCAGATATGCCTCTTTCCCGGGAGGCACAGCATCTGGAGGGGCCCCCGTGGCTTCCGGAAGAAGCTCCCGGGGTTCCGAGGGCCCCTGAGGGCCGGCCCGCTGTGGTCAGCACCGCCTGTCCCCCTGCGTCCCCGGAGGAGCCCGAAGAGGCCACTTACTGCCATGCGATCTCCAGGTTCAGCTTGATGGTGCCGAGGTCGTTGATGTCCACGGCCAGCACCTGAGGCCGCGCTGCAAACAGCTCTTTGGTCTCGCAGGTCACGCTGCCCACCAGCAGGTGGGTGGCCAGCCCTTTGACCTCTGTGACCTGGGAGAGAGCGGAGGGGAGGCGCTGGAGGACAGCGGGCAGATGGGCCGGCATTGCTTTCTGAGTCACCGCGGACGTCAGAGCTGATGTTGTCAGGGACCGGGCAGCAGGAGGAGCCTGGGGACTCAGCAAGGCTCCCCCCCCCCCCCACAGGCATGGCTCCCACATGTGGCTCCCACACTCACCCGGCGTGGCCCGCCCACTCACCCAGCCGTGGCCCACCCCGCGTGGCCCAGCAGGCGGCGGCCGGGCGCTCTGTACCTTGATGGAGATGAGCCCGGCGATCAGGGGCAGGAACACCGTCTCCTCTCCGTCCCAGCTCTGCCTGCCGTTGACTTCGATTTTGCCTTTCAGCTTCCACCGCTGCCGGCCGTACTTCATGAAGATCTGGGAGACAGCAGCGGGCACGCGTCCTCACCCGCCTCCAGACCAAGCACCGCCTCCCCCTCCCCGTCCTCCCCCCACGCCTGGGCTCCATGACTCTGCTCCTCAAATGGCACCGACGCTGAGCAGGGAGGCCGAGGGAGGGGTCCTTGTCTGGAAGGCCCAGGGTGGAGGCGCTTTCTCAGTAAAGAGCGTCGCCCCTACCCGTCCACTCAGCCCTACCCGTCTGCTCACAGTCCTCCCTGTCTGCTCACAGCCCCACCTGTCCGCTCACAGCCCCTCCCATCTGCTCAACCCTACCCGTCTGCTCACAGCCCTACCCGTCCGCTCACAGTCCTCCCTGTCCGCTCACAGCCCTCCCGTCCACTCACAATCCTACCCGTCTGCTCACAATCCTACCCGTCTGCTCACAGCCCTACCCGTCCGCTCACAGCCCTTCCCGTCTGCTCAACCCTACCCGTCTGCTCACAGCCCTACCCGTCCGCTCACAGCCCTCCCGTCCGCTCACAATCCTACCCGGCTGCTCACAATCCTACCCGTCTGCTCACAGCCCTACCCGTCCGCTCACAGCCCTTCCCGTCTGCTCACAGCCCTACCCATCCGCTCACAGCCCTCCCGTCCGCTCACAATCCTACCCGGCTGCTCACAATCCTACCCGTCTGCTCACAGTCCCACTTCAATGGGACAGCCACGGACCGATTCCCAGGCCCAGCCCCTCACAGAGACGATGGGCAGCAGCTAAAATCTCAGCGGCCAGAGCAAGAAATAAGATGCCCCTTGCCCAGCAGGTGTGGCTCAGTGGTTGAGCGCTGACCCATGAACCAGAAGGTCAGGGTTCAATTCCCGGTCAGGGCACAGGCCCGGGTTGCGGGCTCCATCCCCAGCGGGGGGCGTGCAGGAGGCAGCCGATCCATGATGCTCTCATCACTGATGTTTCTCTCCCCCTCCCCCTCCCTTCCTCTCTGACATCAATACAAACATTTAAAAATAAGCTGCAGATCGGCCACTCTGCAGAGCATCATCTCCACTCCCAGGTCCCGCGTTGGCTCAATAAGCTCTCACAAACGTTTCTGCGCGCACGTTCCTGTGTCGACAGGAGGACGGTGTCTGCACACCCTCCCCAGAGCTCAGCGACGCAGTAACGACGACGGGACAGTAACAGGAACAGCTCAGCCAACGAGGCTTCCTGGGAAGCTCAGGGCGTCCAGGTTAAAGTTACAGAAGGGCTGTGTTCCTCTCCAAACGCTCCTGCTGGCTTCGTCCCCCCAGTAACGAGTGTAAAGAGGAACCAGAGATTTTAGGGAGCGGAGTCATGGAGACCGGGCCCCTCCCGCCCCACAGCACTCACCTCGTACTGGTCCCCGGGGCAGAGGCGCGCGAAGCCGGCCAGGCCTGTGAAGGGCAAGCAGTGGACGTGAGGCGCAGAGCACGTTTCCCGCTGCACGGCCCGCACGCCAGCCCGAGACACGCCCACGCCAAGGGGGGACTTTGGGGAACTCGTGTAGTGATACGTGGGGCCCCCTGTGGGGGGAGCTACTGGGGTGGCGTCTCTGTGTGACTCTAAATGTTCTGGTATATTGTCTTGGGCGGTGTGCTCAGTGGTTAGAGTGCTGGCCCATGTACCGAAGGGTCGTGGGTTCGATTCCCAGTCAAGGACACGTCCCTGGGTTGTGGGCTCCATCCCCAGTAGGGGGCGTGCAGGAGGCAGGGGATCCATGGTTCTCTCTCATCACTGATGTTTCTTTTCCTTTTTTAAAAAAATATGTTTTTATTGATTTCAGAGAGGAAGAGAGAGGGAGAAAGAAAGAGAAAAACATCAAAGAGAGAATCATAGATTGGCTGCCTCCTGCAAACCCCTACTGGGCATGTACCCTTGACCGGAATCGAACCTGGGACCCTTCATTCTGCAGGCCGATGCTCTATCCGCTGAGCCAAACCAGCCAGGGCTTATCATTGGCGCTTCTCTCTCTCTCCCTCTCCCTTCCTCTCCCTAAAAACAAACAAACAAACAAACAAACAAATAAATAAATTAAAAACAAATTTAAAAAATTATGAGACGGGGCACACCAATAGGCATCGCCAGGCTAAGGGAGACCTAACAGAGCACCCGCTGTGGCCATGACCCGCCAATAGGTGGCAGCAGGGGACTCCCAGGGAGAAGCAGGCATCACACACTCCCGTCCTTCCTGAGCGAGCCGCCAGTGCGGTGGCGCGTCCTGGGCTCTCACCCGCCAGACGGGCCCGCCGATCGCACTCAGAGGTGACTCTGGGGAGCCTGCCTCCTCCCAGGCCTGTGAATGGCACCCCTCCGGCCCCCCAGGCCTCCGGCGATCTGACCCCATGCGCTGGGCCAGCCGGTCACTATTGCGCCAACGGCACTGGCTCGTCCACCGTCCTCTCCGGAAGGCGTGGGACTCGGGGCCGAGGGCCGCCATCCAGAGAGAGGCCCACAGCCCAGTGCTTGGCCGACAGCAGGGAGTTCTCTCTTTGGGGTTATTTCCCACAGATTTTTAGAGAGAGTGGAAGGGAGGGAGGAGAGACAGAGAGAAACATCGATGTGAGGGACACACATCCACTGGCTGCCTCCTGCACGAGCCCGGCCGGGGACGGGGACCTGCCGCTGAGGTCCATGCCCTTGGCCAGAGTCGAACCCGGGACCCTGCAGTCCGCAGGCCAACGCCCTATCCACGGAGCCAGACTGGATCTTTACCACCGTCCTCTCCCCTCGGCGGGCCGCCTGTGCTGGGTGGGGGCAGGGGAGGGGTGGCCACAGGGCAGGGGTGGGTGTGGCGGGAGGAAGTGGCGGCCAGGTCCCCTGGTGATGAAATGTCCCCAGATCGTGTCGGTGTGGCTGGGGCGGCTCTGTTCCCAGAATGAACAACAGATAAGCGTTTCCGCGGGTGCCCCCAGGAAGCCCGCCAGCTGCGCTTCGGGGTGTGTGAGAGGAGGGAAGTGATGAGAAAGGAGAAGCGGCCCCAGGCCTGAGAGACCCCGAGAGAAGCTAGGGAGAGGGCACAGCAGGCACAGTGGGGGGGGGCAGGTGTGGGAGCCACGGAAAGGTCTCTGTCCCGGTCAGGAGCCCACGGCGGCCGGGGATGCTGCTGAGCAGGGTGGCGAGGTCCCCGGGGGGACGGGGGGAGGGGAGTCTGGCCCCGGAACCACCCTCTCCCGGGCCAGCAGCCCTGTAGCTGCAGACCCGGTGGACGGGCCCCCAGGCTGCCACCCGCTCCCAGGCCCCTCCCTGGAGCTGCCACGGGACTGAGGCTCTTTTCTGAGGTTGTGGATCTTCCCCGAGGACACTTTCCCACTGCCTTTTAGGGAGCGTGGGAGGCAGAGGGAGAGAGAGACAAACAGCGATGTGAGAGACACAGGAACCAGCTGCCTCCTGCATGGCCCCAACCAGGGCCCGGGCCGGGGAGAAGCCTGACACCAGGTACGTGCCTTTGTCTGGAATCGAAGCCAGAACCCTTCGGTGCACAGACCCACGCTCTGTCCACTGAGCCACCCGGGCCGGGGCCAGGGTTCGGTTCCGACGAGCAGGCGCGGAGGGCTGAGCGGGGGACGGGGTGGTGTGGTCACACGTACCTTTCATCCGGATGCAGAACTCGCCCAGCAGGCCCTCCAGCTCCACCTCGATGGCGCACATGTTCTGGGGGGACAGAGGTGGGCGGTCAGGGCTCGGCAGCTTCCTGTCGGCTCCGGCCCACGGCTCCGACCCGTCCCCACTGAGCCGCCGCCGCCGCCGCCGCCGCCTGGGAGGGATCTTCACCGAACGCTCCCCCAGGCCCCGCGAGCCTCTGCGTCCAGGGCGTTGCGAGCACAGAACACGTTAGATTACGTCCCAAACCGACGACCAGAACGCGGGCGTGCTTTTTTGTCTTTACAGAGCGGATGCTTTCCCGTGGGTTTTCAGAGAGAGTGGGAAGGAGAGAGAAACACCGACGGGAGGGAGACACATCGATGGGCAGCCTCCACGTGTGCCCCAGCCCCGGGCCGGGACCAAGCCTGTAACCCAGGGACGTGCCTGGAACGGAACCCGGGACCCTTCCGTCCCCGGGCTGACGCTCTCTCCACGGAGCCACCCCAGCCGGCGCTAAAGGCCGGGCATTCTATGAGAACCGGCCCGAAGGCTACAAAAGGGCCGTTTCCTGGGGGAACGTGGACGGAAGAGACAACGGGGCCAGATGAGGGACGCGAAGACACGAGGCTACTGGGTGACTCTCCAGCACGACTGACCTTCCTTAGTTGGGGTCACGGTAGGTATGTGCGTATGTGGGGTCATGCACGTTTGGCTCAGTGGATAGAGCATCGGCCTGAGGACTGAAAGGTCCCAGGTTCAAGGGCGTGTACCTTGGTTGCAGGCACATCCCCAGTAGAGGGTGTGCAGGAGGCAGCTGATCCATGTTTCTCTCTCATCCGTGTTCCTGACTCTCTATTCCTCTCCCTTCCTCTCTGTAAAAAAAAAAAAATCAATAAACTATATTTTTTTAAAAAAAATCTGTGTGAGCCTTGTCGGCGTGGCTCAGGGATTGAGCCTGGACCTATGAACCAGGAGGTCAGGGTTCTATTCCCAGGGGGGGCCTGCAGGAGGCAGCCCACCCATGATTCTCTCTCATCACGGATGTTTCTCTCTCCCTCCCTCTCCCTTCCTCTCTGAAACCAGTAAAAATATCTTCAAAAACAAAAACCAAACCCACAAAGTGGCCCTGCGGTCAGTCACCCAAGAGGTCCCCGCCGGAGGCCGAGGCAGGTGCCCGCCTGGGGAGTGTCCCTCAGACCCTCCCGGGCGATGACGTCGCCGGGAAACCTGACCGGGAGCGAGGCCTCCGGGGACGGAGAGCTCGGCCTTAATAATTCAGCCGTTCCGTCAGACGGGTATCCGGTGGCCCCGCGGCTCAGCCTCCGGCGTCACGTGCTCGGCCCAGGGGACCGGGGACCAGGGAGCGGCGCTCTGTCTGCTGCCCGCCCGCGGCGGCCGGCCGGGAGGGCTCGCTCCCCCGCCTGCGGGTGCTCCCACCACGGCCTGCTCCGCCCCGGGGGACCCTCGGGGTCCGCACGTAAAGGGAAAAACGCCGGACGGGCTCCGTGGTTGAGCATCGACCTCTGAACCAGGAGGTCAGGGTTCAAGTCCAATCATGGCACAGGCCCAGGTGTGGGCTGGATCCCCAGTGTGGGGCGTGCAGAAGGCAGCTGATCCGTGGTTCTCTCTCATCAGTGATGTTTCCCTCGCTCTACCCCTTTCCTTCCTCTCTGAAACCAATAAAAAAAAATTATATATATATTTTTAAAAAGGGAGACAAAGAGTGACTCTGTGTGAGGAGTGAGTGAGGCTGGGCAGGCGCCGTCCGTGCTCGGCGGGACCGCGGCGGCCGGCTGGGGGCACCCACCTCCGTGTACTCCTTGTGGCTCCGGTGCACCTCGGCCAGGCTCTCCCGCGCGGCCTTGCTGTGCGGGGACGAGGCGAAGGCCTGCTTCATCTTGCTGGCGCCGTCCTGCAGGCGCCTCTGGATGCAGTAAGCCTCGTAGAGCTCGTCCACCTGCCGGAAAAAGGGGAGGCCGGCGCTGAGTCTGGGGGCGCTGAAACCCGGGGGGGGGGGCGCTGAGCCCGGAGGCGCTAAGCTCTGAGGGCGCTGAGTCGGGGGGGCGCTGAGCCTGGGGGCGCTGAAACCCGGGGGCGCTGAGCCCGGGGGCAATGAGCCCGGGGGGGCTGAGCTCTGAGGGCGCTGAGCCCGGGGGCGCTGAGTCCGGGGGCGCTGAGACCCGGGGCGCTGAGCTCTAAGGGCGCTGAGACCTGGGGGCGCTGAGCTCTGAGGGCGCTGAGACCCGGGGGCACTGAGACCCGGGGCACTGAGCTCTGAGGGCACTGAACTCTGAGGGCGCTGAGCCCCGAGGGCGCTGAATCCCGGGGGCGCTGAGACCCGGGGCGCTGAGCTCTGGGGGCGCTGAGTCCGGGGGCGCTGAGTCCCGGGGCACTAAACTCTGAGGGCGCTGAGCTCTGAGGGCGCTGAGCTCTGAGGGGACTGAGTCCCAAGGGTGCTGAGCTCAGAGGGCGCTGAGACCCGGGGGCGCTGAGTCCCGTGGCGCTGAGCAGGGCGGGGACCCGCGGGGAGGAGCGCACCCTCTCAGAGGGAGGCCGTGACCCGGCCTTTGATACCAGGGTCCCCTCTCCCCGCCAAGACCGACTGTGCTCTGAGCCGCTTTCCCCAGTGCAGAGGGGGAAGGAACGGAGTACAGGTGGTCCAGGGGAGACAGGTGTGGTCCCCTGTACACGCCACAGGTGTGGTCCCCTGTACACTCCACAGGTGTGATCCCCTGTACATACCACAGGTGTGTCCCCTGTACATACCACAGGTGTGGGTTATCTGTACCTGCTACACGTGTGGGTTACATGTACACAATCAGATGTGGGCTACCTATACATGCCACAGGTGTGGTCCCCTGTACACACCACAGGTGTGGGTTACCTGTACACGCCACAGGTGTGGGTTACCTGTACACGCCACAGGTGTGGGGCAATGAAGGCTGGTGCCTCCTGTGCTCACAGGAAGGGGTGATACTAAGCTTGCTTCCGAGGTAAAGACTTTGTTGTTTTTTAAATAAATGTGAGTGTATATATATATATATTATTGATTTCAAAGAAGGGAGAGGGAGAGAGAGAGAAACATCCATGATGAGAGAGAGAGTCACGGATCGGCTGCCTCCTGCACGCCCCACACTGGCGATGGAGCCTGTGACCCAGGATTGTGCCCTGGCCGGGAATCGAACCCTGACCTCCTGGTTCCCAGGCTGACGCTCAGCCTGAGCCCCGAGGTGAAGACCTGCAGGCGCCACCGTCAGGTGGCTGTGAGAGGGGTCACACTGTGCTTGTGGGGAACGCGAGGCTCCTTCCTGTTCTCAGCTCCACACGCCCGGAGCTGCTGCCAGGGCCTCGTGGTGAGAGGCGCCTGCTCTCAGGCCAACGGCCACTTCGTGAAGGAGCCGCCGCTCGGGGAGCAGCCCGTCTCTCGCTCTGGGGGCCGGTGGGTGCGTCGTGATGGGGGGCCTGGCCCTGGGGCCTGGCTCTGTGAGTTGGAGCGTCGTCCGGTGCACCAAAAGTCTGTGGGCTCGATCCCCGGTCAGGGGACATGCCCAGGCTGTGGGTTCGATCCCTACATGGGGCGCCTACAGGAGGCAGCCGATAGGTGTTCCTCTCTCACATCCATGTTTCTCTCTCTCTCTCCTTTTCTCTTTGGAATCAATGGAAAACCCCCTCGGGTGTGGGTTAAAACAAAAAAGAAAGAGGGAGTCTAGGCCTGGAGGGGTGGCCCGTCGGTGCCGACATCCCTGGCCGGGGCTGGGGGTGGCCACACGGAGAGCTAAGCGGGGACCCCGGGGAGCTGGGCCAGTGCGATGCCAGGCCCGGGCGGGGTCTGAGATGCGGGTTCACCAGGGCAGGGCAGGGCCGGGAACCTGAACTTTCACACGCTCGGCGCCCAGCGTTCTGACGCGGGAGGTGTGCCATCCACCGGCAGGAACACGCGCAGGGCGCCTCCATCCTGGCCGCCGGCGTGTCCCCGGAGGTTCCGGAGACGCCCCTGGACCCTCGTCCCCACCGGCGTCTCCACCACCGTGGCCAGGCCTGCTCCTTTGCTTCCAGAGAGCAGCCTGTTCTCGCTTCGCCCCGGCCGGCCTCTCTGAGCCGGACGGTCCCCGCTCCGGGCTGGCGGAGGCTGCCTGCGTCTGAGCCACAGCGGAGGCGCAGCCAGCGTGCGGATTAGGGGCCTCGCCCCGTGACCGGGGCCTGCGGCAGCCTGCAGGAACCTGCAGGCGCTCTCCCGCCCGAGACCGAGGGGCCCACGGGGACGGACGGACCGACGGGGAAACCGCCTGCCTCGTCGGAGCCGCCTCCTGGCTGTTTTCAAACTGAACGGAGTAACCTGTCCGCGCCTGCCGGCCCCACCAGCGCCTTCCAGCCGCTCAGACCCGCCCGGTTGCGGGGTCCCGAGCGGGCGCTGCAGAGGAGGCGCAGCCACGTGGGAGCCATCTCAGGGCCGCGAAAGGGAGGGATTCTGGGGCCGGCCGGCCAGCGGGGCTCAGGGGCTGAGCGCTGACCTAGGAACCAGGAGGTCAGGGTTTGATTCCCGGTCAGGCACAGGCCCGGGTTTCGGGCTGCGTCCCCAGTAGGGGGCAGACAGGAGGCAGCCGATCCATGATTCTCCCTCGTCATGGATGTGTGTCTCTCTCTCTCTCTCCTTTCTTCTCTGAAATCAATAATAATGATATGATGATAATAATCAAGAAACCCTCCCTGAACTACCTGCCAAGCTCAGGCCAAAGGGGGGCTGACCCGGGACCGAAAACCAGGCCAAGGCGCGGGAGGGGAGGGTGGCAGTTACCTTGCTGATGTGAAACTCCAGGCGCCGAACGTACCGCTCAATGGTTTTGATTTGCTGGAAGGAAAGGGAGCCGCGAGAGAGGACGGCCGTCACCACGCAGACGGTCCGGCCTGCGACCGGCCGCCGCTCTCCTCTCGCTCGCCCTGCCCCCTCCCGTCCCTGCGGCTACTCAGCCCCAGCCGGAACCGGGGGGCCCTTCCGCCCGCGCTGGGAAGGGGCTGCCGGCCACGGGGTGGGGCGATTCGCACCCGGGAGGCCATCAGTGGCTCCCTGGGTCTCCGTGGGCACGGCAGCACCTGAGTCCCCCCCACAGCGGGACCCGTGCTCTCAGCTCCGAGAGGAACGCCCTTCGCTGCACACTGACTCTGAACGGGAGCTGCGTCGTCCCATCGCGACGCCGCGCGTGTCAGAGGGGGGGCCGGCGGGGGCGGGGCGGGGCGCCCTCTCGTCCCCGACGGCTGTCCCTATTGCACCCGCTGCCTCCCCGCCTCCCCGTGTCCGGAGCAGACTGCACCGCACACCGGCCGTGCGAACTGAAACGCCTGCGTTGGAAATGGCTTCAGGGCGTGACGCCACCGGGCCGGAAAACCCGTTCTCGGGGACAGGGGACCGTGCACAGCCTCCCCGGAATCGCGGGCTTTCTGTGGAGCGTGAACTCAGTGCATTTTCCAGTCCAGGCGTCTGGTCTGGTGACCGGGGGCAGCTGGGATTTGAGAAGATGGGCAGGGCCTCTCCATGCCCAGGACGTCCTAAACGTCTCGGCGCCCGGCGCCGGCCGCCAGGGGCGTTTCCTGGGTCTGGAGGTGGCGGTCCTGACGCCTCACACTCAGGTAAAGGCACGCGTTTTTCTGGGCTTGGAACCGTCTCCGGCTCCCTAGGCTCCCTGTCCCTCGGAGGGGACCCCAGGCTTATGCCCGCCACCCCCGCTCCTCCATCACAGAGCGGTCACTCACCTTGTCCAGGTCGTACAGCACACCCTGAAATAAAAAATAAAAACCATTAAAAGGTGTCTTCTGCAAAAACCACCACCGACGTCAGCAGAGGGATTCGGGCTGCGTGCCCGCACGGCCGCGAAACAAGGACCAGCCACTGGGTTTTCTGGCATTTGCTTAAAAGAGTAAAAATCTGGGTTATTTTAAGTGCCAGTGAGAGTGCTGTTTCGTTTTTGTTAACCCTCACCCGAGGGTATTTTTCTATGGATTGTTTCTAGAGAGAGTGGAACGGAGGGGGCGAGACACAGATAGAGAGAGAGAGAGAGAGAGAGAGCGAGAGCGAGAGCGAGAGCGAGAGCGAGAGAGAGAGAGAGAGAGAGAGAGAGAGAAAGATTCTTGATTGCCTCCCACACATGTCCCGACCCAAACCTGCAACCGAGGTACACGCCCTTAACCAGAATCGAACCCCTGGCCCTTCAGTCTGCAGGCTGACACTCTAACCACTGAGCCAGACCGGCCAGGGTGGGTCGGCTTTTCTGGAAGGTTCTTCTTTGTATCGATCTCCATCCAGTAGGAGAAGACACTTAGCCACCCCCGCCCCCCAAAAAACAAAAACACCCCACAAAAAACAAACCTGCAAAAACCCACACCAGCAAACCAACCATCACCCCACGGAGTCAGCCCGGGCGCGACACCCACCAGGCGGGAGTTCCTCTTCATGTCCTTCAGCTGCCCCGTCAGCTTGTCCAGCTCCGTCTGGTGGACCTCCAGGTACTCGCTGCGAACACAGGAGGAGGCGACTGTGAACGCGGCGGCCGCTGGGGACGGACAGGCCCGGGGTGCCGGCTCCCTCCGAGGGGGGCCTGGGCCTCACTGGACGGGACTGGGCTGCGGGCCTCCATCTGAGGGGGGGCCTGGGCCTCACTGGACGGGACCCGGGTGCTGGGCTCCCTCCGAGGGGGGCCTGGGCCTCACTGGACGGGACTGGGTGCTGGGCTCCCTCAGAGGGGGGGCCTGAGCCTCACTGGATGGGACCCAGGTGCTGGCCTCCCTCTGAGGGGGGGCCTGGGCCTCACTGGACGGGACTGGGCTGCGGGCCTCCCTCCGAGGGGAGGGCCTGAGCCTGGCCCCGGGGCAGTGCGTGGGAATGAGGGGCTGCAGCTCCCAGTCTCTCCACAGGCTTAAGCTCTGGTGCTGCCTCCGGACGGTCCAGGTGGCCAAAAGGAGACCCCCAGGACGCTGAGCGCCGAACAGAAAAGCCGGCGTGGAGGGGAGTGGTGGTGGGGGGACAGGGAGGATGGCGAGTGGGGTTGGCTGGGTCTGGGCCCTCAGAGCTCTGTCTGGCTCCACACAGCGTGCCTGGGGTGGGGGTCACGAAGCCAGGACTCCACGGGGTCAGTTACACACATGGCTCCTTCCCCTTCTCACTGTCTGGGCATCACCCCGAACCCCAACAAACGTCCCATCTTTGGGGTTGATCTAAGGCTTCCTTGGTGATGGTGCAAGAATAAAACATCTATGCCCGCCTGGCATGGCTCAGGGGTTGAGCATTGACCTAGGAACCTGGAGGTCAGGGTTCGATCCCGGTCAGGGCACAGGCCCGGGGTGCAGGCTCCATCCCCAGTGTGGGGCGTGCAGGAGGCAGCCGATCCATGATTCTCTCTCATCACTGATGTTTCTCTCTCTCCCTGTCTCCCTTCCTCTCGGCAGTCAGTAAAAATGTGTTATTTTTTTTTAAAAGAAAGAATAAAACATCTACTCCAGAAACGGACATTTTGAGATGACCTCGCAAGCCTCGTTGTTCCCGTGGCCCCGCCCCAGTGTCGGGAACAGAAAGGGGCCCCGCCGAGGGGGGCGCTCTTACTCGAGCCCGCCCTTCAGCGCCCGGTACACCTCCTCCACGCGGGCGGGCTGCGGCTCCTTGGGGGGGCTGCTGTTCTTGTGCCCCAGGTTGTGCATCTTCTTCAGCTTGGCCTGGGGCTTCTTGAGCGCGGAAGCATTCTCGATGAAGGAGTTACACCTGCGAGAGGGGGAGAGCAGGAATGGCGTCTCGGGGGCGACCGGAAGGATCCGCGGGAGGAATGCCTCCCCTCGTCGTCTCCTGTTTGTGTCCGTGTCTTTGGGGGAAGGCACAGCCCGGGCGGAAGGACGCCGCGGGGGCAGCCGACGCTGTGTTTCTCGGCGTTCGCGTAAGCGCTGAGGTCTGGGAGCGTCCTGGGCAGTGGCTTCCTCCAGTCAGGGGACACACCCTCCGAGGGAAGGCGTTCCCCTGTAACCGGGACCCCACAGGGAACCAAGGCCCCACGCCCCCCAGTGGAAATAAGAATCAGGCAGAAGGACATACACAGACTGAAAAACAAACAAACGTGTGCATTAGCAACAGAAGGCATGAGCATCTCCTAAGTTAGACTAGGGTGTGAGTGCCTGCCTTTGTGATAAAGCGCCGTAAGCAGGACACACGGCTGACCCTGCGTCGTGTGAAGGCACGGCACACGGGGCTGGGCTGACGGGGTTTTCCTAAGCTCTGTTTCCCCGGAGGACGTTCGGCTTGGGTTTAACCTGAAGCCCGGTGTCTCTGTGAGTGGCAGGGAGGCAGCCAGGATCCAGCCATGCCACGCCTGGGTGTTTTTTCCAAAGGAAACAAAAGCACTAGCTCACGGTGATTCACACGCCCCCCGGATCGCTGCAGTGTCACGGACAGGGTCCGCGGGGGAGTGAGAGAAGGGAGACGCTGCGATGGGCCTGCATACGTACGATGGGGTCTGACTCACCCAGAGAAAAGGTGGCATCATGCCCGTTGGGACATACTGATGGGCCCAGAGAATGTCATGCGGAGGGAGAGAAGTCAGACGGGGAAAGACAAATGCCGTATGATGTAACTTCCAGGTGTAATGTAAACATACACACACACACACCCAGTCGGTCACCAGAGGTGGCGGTGGGTGGTGAGCTAAAGAGGTGAAGGGGGTCAAAAGGTAAAAAAGGAAAGAAGAAGAAAAAAAAAAGGTAGCAAACCAAACATATAAGAAAAGGACAACATAGGATGTTGCAATGGATAAGTGACCAGCCTTTCCTGTTTTGTACAAAAACATGCAAATGTCCACCCGCCAACAGGCACAGGTGTGACCGAGGTATTCCCCAAAGGGAACAAGAAAGGGAAAAACCCTGAGCGGACCTCTGACCTCACGGGGGGGACGTGGAACACCGGAGGCGGTTTTTACAAAGTGCCCCGTGATGACGGAGGCGTGCGGACGGCGGATCTGCGTAGCTCAGAGGGGACACACGGCTCAAACACGGGAAGCTCTTGGGTGATGTTTATCAAAAGACCTAAAAATGGGGGGCGGGAAGTAGGGAGAGCTACCCCCGTAGCTCGTAGCTTTTCCTGTATCTCCAGCCACCTCCTTTGCAGGAGAAAATCTGAATGACGAAAAGAAACGTCACAGTCCGGCTGGTGTGGCTCACTGGTTGAGCATCGACCTATGAGCCAGGAGGTGACGGTTCGATTCCCAATCAGGGCACAGGCCCGGGCTGCGGGTTTGATCCCCAGTAGGGGTGCGTGAAGGAGGTAGCAGATCCGTGATTTTCACCTTTGATATTTCTCTCTCTCTCTCTTTCTCTCTCTCTCTCTCTTTTTCTCTTCCTCCCTCCTTTCCTCTCTGAAATCAGTTAACAAATACATATATTTTTTTTAACAAGAAAAGAATTAACAGTGCTCCATTGGGGTGGCTGACATATTTTCCAAGGCAGAAATGAAAGTCAGAAGTGTGTCCATGTGCATGTGTGTGTGTGTGTGTTTACACGTGTGCGTGTATGTTTGCATGTGCGTGTGCATGCTCGCTTGCACACACGCTCTGCACAGCGCCAGAGCTCGCTGCTCCTCAGCCGCACCCGGGGAGCCCGGACTTGCCTGGACCGCCGCTCCTGCAGGCCGCTGAACCCCGCGAAGGACTGGCTCCGGATGATGCCATTGGGGCCCCCTGGCGAGAAGGACTGCGTCCCCACCAGCATGATCTCGGGGAGTCTGGCCGGCAGCCCTGGAAGAGGAGAGTGGGCCGTCAGGGCAGGTTCAGACAGACAGCCCTACGCGCGTCAGCCGCCAGGCAGGTGCACGGGGGCAGGTGAGTCAGGAGCCTGCGGGCTGGACCCGCCGCCCAGGCCTCCCTGAGCGGAGGGGGCTCTCAGGGGACGCGGAGGCCGGCCTCGGGGACAGGGACAGCCCAGAAACAAAGGCCGCACCGTCATCGGCACCCGGTCTCCGGGGACTTGTTTTTTAAACAAGCTTCCACCACGCCTTCTGAGCGACCTCCCTCTGGCTCCTTCCTCCCCGACAGTGACTTCTCACTCCCCCGGAGAGAAAGCCAGGGGCTTTCTCTTGTTTTTTCATATTACGTACATTTTTGGCTCTTATCCTTTTAGTCATTTTTTTAAAAATTGAGTTATGCCCAGCTGGTGTGGCTCAGTGGTTGAGCATCGACCTATGAACCAGGAGGTCATGGTTCGGTTTGATTCCCAGTGAGGGCACAGGCCCGGGTTGCGGGTTCCATCCCGTGTGGGGCGTGCAGGAGGCAGCCGGTCCGTGATTCTCTCTCATCACGGATGTTTTTCTCTCTCCCCCTCTCCCTTCCTCTCTGGGATCAATAAAATGTGTGTGTGTTTTTTTAATTGAGTTATTTACATCCAGTCTGTCAGTTGTGTAAGCACAAGCAGTCAGTCCCATCACCCCGAACATCCCCATACCCGCATGGAGGGACTCCCGGCCCAGCCAGCCATGGATGCTTTTAAAGCTTATTTTTCAAAATAAATGTTAAAGTACACACACACACACACACACACACACACCCCACACACACACCCCACACACACCCCACAACCCACAAACACGTCGTGATGTTTACTCCTTTCAACAATAGCAGCAAAAGCACCGGAGGCCACGCCCGAGCTCAGGCTGTCCGGCCTCGCTTTCAAACCCCGTGTTCGCAGGCTGCACCTTCAGAGAGGAGCGAGCTACACTCGGCTCTCTTCCTCCCGGAGGGTCCTTGTGGGTGTTTTTTTTTTTTTTTTTTTTTTAATCTTTTTATTGATATTTAGAGCGAGAGGAAGGGGGAGGGGGAGAGAGAAACATCAATGATGAGACAGAATCACTGATCGGCTGCCTCCTGCACGCCCCCCACTGGGGATGGAGCCCACAGCCCGGGCCTGTGTTCCTACAGGGAACGAACGAGCTCCCTCTAGGTTCGTGGGTCGATGCTCAACCACTGAGCCACACTGGCCAGGCCTCCGCTGAAGTGTATTCGGAGGATAAGCTCCAGCCGCTGTGGTGACAGGAGCGCCCCCCAAAGAAAGCCGGACAGTGGAGGTGGCAATGAGAACCCCAGAGAAGAGAGAAGAAAGGGGAGAGGAAGCCGCAGCCAGAGGTGCACCCGCTCATACCCAGGCACCTGCTCAGTCCCCTGCCCCCTGCTCAGTGCCCCGCACCCCGCTCCATCCCCCACACCCCGCTCCGTCCCCCGCACCCCGCTCAGTCCCCTGCACCCCGCTCAGTCCTCTGCACCCCGCTCAGTGCTCTGCACCCCGCTCAGTGCCCTGCACCCTGCTCAGTCCCCTGCCCGCCGCTCAGTGCCCCGCACCCCACTCCATCCCCCACACCCCGCTCCGTCCCCTGCACCCTGCTCAGTCCCCTGCACCCTGCTCAGTCCCGGGCACCCTGCTCAGTGCCCTGCACCCCTGTCCCGTGCACCTGCTCAGCCACTTGCTCCCTGGGGTCCAGACTCACCGGTGCGGACCCGGCCCCCTGGCCACGCACAGCCGCCCAGGCCGGGCCCCAGACAGCGCCCTGGGGGTGCCCAGCAGGGACCCGCCTATCGCCCCGCCCCGCCCCAGGGAAGCGCGGGGACCCAGGGGGACAGGAGGAGAGGGGACACCGCTACTGGGATGTGCACCGGCGGAGGCCGCCCGCACAGGGAGGGGGTCCCCAGAGGCGGGACGCCAGCCCCTCCTCAGGGAAGAGGGCCCGGGTCCTGGCTTTCCTGCAGGTCCAGGCGCTGACTCACCCGTGGGGCGCTCACCAGCACTTTGATCCGGGCTGGATGTGCGGGCACCCATTCCTGGGGTGGGGGGGCTTCTGCTTGGGACATTCTCAGGAATGTTCCCTCCCACCCCCACCCCAGAATCTGTGCTTTTAAAAAAATAATATATATTTTTATTTACTTCAGAGAGGGAGAGGGAGAGAGAATCATGGATTCGCTGCCTCCTGCACACCCCTCACTCTCCCTTCCTAACCATGCGCCCCCCCCCCCGCCCGCCGCACCCCCCCCCCCCCACACACACATCTGGTCCAGGAGCAGGAGTACAATTCCGTCTGGAAGAGGCCCACAGGCCAGATGTAAATAGCCTGCGAGGGGCAATGAGTATTTGGGGCGAATCCTAAAAATAGGAGTCTGCTTATTACACGGCGGCAAAGTGCCTATTACAGACAGGCGACTAATCTGAGAGGGGGGGGGGGGCGGAGAAACATCCAGGATAAGAGAGAATATGGATCAGCTGCGTCCTGCACATCCCCTCCTCGGGATGGAGCACACAACCCAGGCCTGAGCCCTTAACCGGAATCGAACCTGGGACCCCTCCTGTTGAACCAACAGGACAAAGATTGATGGATGTTTCTCTTTCCCTTCCTCTGTATATTTTTATTGATTTCAGATTGGAACGGAGAGGGAGAGAGAAACATCAAAGGTGAGAGAGAATCATTGAGTGGCTGCCTCCTGCATGCTCCCTAATGGGGATCAAGCCCACACCCAGGGCCTGTGCCCTTGACCGGAATCGAACCCAAGACCCCTCAGTCCCCAGGCCAACGCTCTATCCACTGAGCCAAACCAGATAGGGCAAAAACACTGTGCCTGGCACGGCGCCCGCTGACTGCATGGCGGCAGGTAGGACCCGGCATCGGACTGTACATACAGCCTGTGGGGTAGCTCACCGCAGAGGAAGGTGAGGACACTATTGAAAGCTTTTCCGCCTCAGCCTCCGGAATCCAGCGAACACCTATTTCCTACGGCGGTTACCTGGTTCCTGGCCTCTGAACCAGCAGGAGAATACAGCTCAGCCCGGCCGCCTGCGTCGACCTATGACCCAGGAGGTCAGGGTTCGATTCCCGGTCAGGGCACATGCCAGGGTGGCGGGCTCGGTCCCCAGTGGGGGGCGTGCAGGAGGCAGCTGATGAATGATTCTCATCACTGAGGTTTCTCTCTCTGAAATCAATAAAAAAATTTTTTTTACAAAAAGAAAATACAGCCCTGATCGGTTTGGCTCAGTGGACAGAGCATCTGCCTGCGAACTGAAGGGTCCCGGGTTCGATTTCCGTCAAGGGCATGGACCTGGGTTGCGGCCACATCCCCAGCAGGGGGTGTGCAGGATGCGGCTGATCGATGTTTCTAACTCTCTATCTCTCTCCCTTCCTCTCTATAAAAAAATCAATAAAATAAAATAGAAATAAAACACAGCTAGCACACAGACCCGATTGCGTGTGGGAGGAGCCGGGAAGCTCTGGCCCCAGGGAGGGAACAAGCAGGCTGTCCTTTCCCACTTGAGCTGCATTCGTCATTTCATTCCTGTTGTTATGACAACACTTTAAAAAGCAGCTCTTGAAGCGCTCAGCATTCCGGCATCTTATTATAGACCAGCACACAATACCGCACGGAGGGTGTGAGGCGCAGGCTGGCGGGGCCATGCTCAGGGAGGGACCGGCCGCCTCGGCCCCAGCCTGACTTTTTCTTTTCTTTCTTTGCTTTTTCTTTTCTTTCCTAATATATTTTATTGATTTGAGAAAAGAAAGTGAGAGGGAGAGTGATAAAAACATCAATGACAAGAGAGAAGCATTGATCGACTGCCTCCTGCAACCTGGGCCTGTGCCCTTGACTAGAATTGGATTTGGGACCTTTCAGTCCGCAGGCCGACGCTCTGTCCACTGAGCCACACCGGCCAGGGCTGAGCAGGCATTTATTTTTTTATTTCATTGATTTTTTACAGAGAGGAAGAGAGAGGGATAGAGAGCTAGAAACATCCATGAGAGAGAATCATGGACCAGCTGCCTCCTGCACACCCCCCACTGGGGATGTGCCCGCAACCAAGGTACATGCCCTTGACCGGAATCGAACCTGGGAACTTTCAGTCTACAGACTGACCTTCTATCCACCGAGCCAAACAGGTTTCAAATTCTTTTCTTTTTTTTCTTTTAAAAAAAAAATATATTTTATTGATTTTGTACAGAGAGGAAGGGAGAGAGATACAGAGTTAGAAACATCGATGAGAGAGAGAGTCATCGATCAGCTGCCTCTTGCACACCCCCTACCGGGGATATGCCTGCAACCAAGGTACATGCTCTTGACCGGAATCGAACCCGGGACCTTTCAGTCCCCAGGCCGACGCTCTATCCATTGAGCCACACCGGTTTCGGCTTCTTTTCTTTTTTAATATATCTTTGTTGATGTCAGAGAGGAAGGGAGAGGGAGGGAGAGAGAGAAACATCCATGACGAGAGGGAAGCATGGATCGGCTGCCTCCTGCACGGCCCCTACTACTAGGGATGAAGCCTGCAACCTGGGCCTGTGCCTTTGACCGGAATCGAACCTGGGACCCTTCAGTCCGCAGGCCGACGCTCTCTCCACTGAGACAAACCAGTTTCGGCTGAGCAGACATTTGTAAGAGCTGGTTTTCCATGGCGGGGTCAGGTAGCCATTCGGTGAGCACCTGCCGACCACCAGCTGCTGGAACGCCCGGCTGCTGGGGGGCTGTCACTCACGCTGCGTGTTCTCAGACGGCACCGCTGACCGGGGGCTGACCACGCGCAGAGCGCGGACCGCAGGCGCGGCGTGCGAGCAAACGGGACGCGCAGAATCCGGAATGTGAACTAGGCCACGGCTTCCGAGAACGACAGGAATGAGAACGACAGGAACGAGAACGACAGGAACTCAGGCGTTGTGTTCCGAGGAGGGAGGGGATTGTTTTTCGGCACCAAAAATACTGCACGGCCCCCTCCAGCT